ATCTAAAATTACACTAATAGGATTTTACACCTTAAGTAGAAGTCTGTTATTACAAATCTCAAACCTATACTTTAAGAAAATATTAAAAGTTATAACTGGTTAAATATCACACTGCAAGAAAATGTTTGGAATTATACAGACATGATTCTAGAATGCGAGAAGTTTGCTATTACACTGAAATGAAACGAATTAAATTGAAATCTTTAATGCCTGATTCAACTAATTAGATTAAAGAAATTTTGTGTAGTTACCGGAGCTTAACTTACGTCCTTCTAGCCATAGAATAGTATACTTAGCAGTTAGCACACCGGCCCAGAAAGATTGGAAATTCCTGACTGTAACATGAATATTTCATCCATATTTCTAAAGGAGTTAAGCTTGTGTAATAATATGCGTCCAATGAGATTGGTATATAGCAAATAATGGTCTTTTCCCATAATTTTGTTAACTTAGGTATCCATAGACCCTAACTTTTAACATTAAAAAAACCTACATATCATCAATAACAAGCCTAATTCCCAAAAACAACTTTTGGCAAGGTAGACAACCATAAAGTTGTTTTTTGGAAAGTATTTATTGTTGCCAAAAATATAGCAAACTATTTCTACTGGTACTAGTTATGAATTACTATGAAGAGGTTTTTATGTATTAAAAAATGTTGAGAGATATTGCGACCACACATATAAAACAAGGTTGAGCGTATTTATTCCAATATGGTGACTTTCATATATCGATTGGAAACATATTTATGATTGGGTTTTCTTGATTGAAAGTATGTAAATTTCAATCCATTAAACTCCATTTCTTCTTCGAAACCCCATTGACAATTTGTTTCTATTAAAATATAGCCATGGAATGTTTCAACAAAATTTGTAAATGTATTTTATTTTAGACGTTAATTTTAGATATAATTTCAAATTTTATTCACATCTCAAGCGATTACATAGTATCAATTTATTAAATTACCTAGGAATATTTCCAAGGAATATATTGTGACACTACAAATTTTGCGTCAATTCCTTTATCTAGCGAGTGGCAATTGGTCGAACCTTTCCGAGTTCATTGCCACCATCTCATCTTTTGCCGTCCTCCACAATCGACTGGTCTCCGCCATAACATTGAGGGTGGACGTTGACAAATGGTCCGATTACGTCCGAAAGTTTCGAAAGATGCGAGTAAAACACTGCGGGATTCAATTGCGGACGAGATGCTGCAGTACTTCGAATCAACTCCAACTGATGAAATTCAAGTGCAAACTAGGCAAAGTGAGGTTGTCGTAATTGGTTTTGCGTACGTGAGTGGATGGGGTCGGAGAAGAGTCATGCGAGGACACGTTTCACCTCTATTCTGCTTGATTTTCAATATATGCAGCCGACGTCGTTCCTGATAAAGTAAAAGCAAATAGTGTCTGGTGTTTTGTAACATTAATCTTAGCTGTATGGTTATGGAGTGGTTTTAAGTGGTGGGTGGACACTACAATTAAAGGTGTACAGATTGTAAACGGATTTTATTGTAAATTGATATTTCCTTTTATGATTAGTATAAATTTTAGTTCCAGTAAAAGCTCAAAAACAAATAATGACTCAATTTTCTCTAAATCAATTAGATCAAATTAAATCTAATTGGCTTGTTAGACGTTAAGAGTTAGATTCCATTCCGTTTTAATCTTTCAATTTCACCAACGCACACAAAATAGATCGTTAACTTATCTCTAAGTAAGAGAAAACCTTCTTTTTAGTTTCAACACTCTATTCCATCGTTTCTACCTGCCAATTAAAGGGGGAAAATAAAATATTTAAGAGACGAGTGGAAAATGAAGTGCGTGCGAAAGGTGCACTCGAAAGGTGAAGTGAAGAAGTACCGTCGTCATCGTTCGCTGGTTGATGTATTGCACAGGAATGTCGCATGTCAGCCATGAAGCAAAACGTACGTCGAGAATACAACCAGATCTTTCAGATCGTTCGTTTGGTTGGATTGATTTAATTAGAAACGGGAAGAATAAAGGGTAAATGGCGTGAGAAGAAAAACGATCGATATTTAATTGTACTAAAGTTAATGATGTATAAAAAATGTGGGGGATACTGACGTTTTTATAATTAAGAACCATTGAACATCGAAATGAGTTGAAAAAGTTTCCATTAACAATTTTCAGAATTCACTTAAAACTTATTCTTTCATCTTTTAAACACCTTTTATTAATAATCACCATCTTAAAATTCGTTTTAAGTCTGTGCTTTCCTTCCAAGTTTGTATTTAAGCACAAATTATATGTGAGAATACACAATTTAATTAATACTTTTAATTTTATCTCATAAATATATGAATTAACTTCGCAATTTAAGATCAAAACTTGCAGGAAAGAAGCAAGAGGATCGGAGCTATATCAAAAAGTGATGGATTGCATTCAAGTTGAACTCGTGCTCGACTCAAAAGGTGAATAAATCGCTCGGTTAAACCTTCCAATTACAGGTGAATACCAATCGAGCACGACGATGTCGACGACCAGACGTCTCGAAACGCGATAAATTTTCAATAATCGGTGCAATACATTACCGGCTTTTCGATTCTCGGGCAATCGCTGCCAAAGGCTAACAAATTGCAAAGAATGTGCATCACGCATTCAACAGATTAAAATCCAAGCGAAGTGTTGAGAGAATTAACCGACCAAATACGGAAGTTACATCGTAATAAGTAGTTTAAATCGGCATATTACGCGTTAAGCGCATTATTAATTGAGTTTCATGTTTAATTGGTGAATAGAAAGTGTGCCTAACATTTTCATTACAAAATTGATTGAAAAATAAATCCGTAATGAGAGAAATTGTAAGCTTTCATTCTATTGTTGCATGCCGTTTTATTACGGATCTTTAGGGTAGTTAAATTGATCCCAATTTATAATGTGGAGGGGACTAAAAGGTAATAGGAAATTCGTTCGGTAATCCGTTAATTCGAGAAATTGGATGTTTCCTAAAGCGCTCCGACCCTAACTTTATAACACAATTTCCCCCTTTTGTGAGTTACAATTAATTCTCAAGTCAAAAATTTTTAGGTACACTCATCCTATGAAATCTAATATACCTCACATAGAGGAATTTGGAAAACTTAAATAATTCAATTAAATTAAAAATGTATCTAATAATTCATTACATAACTTAATTAATTCACCCAACCCATATTCCAAATAAAGCTAAAACCAGTTAACAACTTCTAAATTCTCCCGGAGTTTCTACCTCGCATCAATTAAACGATTACAAATCTCAAACATCCAGACGAAATCCCAATCGTCATTCCCAGACGTTTTCCAATTGTATACCCATTAACATTAATCCCGAAACTCGTCCATTATTCATATCGAGAGAGACAGAGTAAGGCGACAAATCTTTCGGGCGGTCCATCCAAGCATCTCAAAGAAATGAAATGCACAATTTGTTAGTCGTTTCGTACGACGCCCCTTTTAGAAACCTTTTAAGTAACGGTAGTCGACGACGTAATTAAATCACGGAATCGATCGGGTTCCTTGGCTTTTGGTGGCGGCGCAGCGACTGCAGCGCGCCCTGTAATTAATCCCCACGTTTTGTACGCCGAAATGGGAACGTAACGAGACGCAAAGTCGTTTACACGTACGCGAACGCAACCGTCTGGAGTCAGCGATATTTTCCACTTTCCTTTTGTCGGTTGCCAGATTTGGAAAGATGGAGTTTTTGTAATATAATGAATATGGATGTATTCAAAAGGGAAAAGTTATGTTTAGCAAATTTATTGTATCATCACATCAAGAAACTTTTTAAAATTAAAGAGTAAGAAAACATTTATTTTAAATCTAATACTTCAAGTTCTTTTAAAACCTTATTAAGCTTATAATTTCTGCATTCTCCCAAAACTAATGGGGGTGAACTATTCTGTGACGATACGATTGTGTTCTGGAACTTAGGTTTAAGTTCAAATATACTTAAGTTCTTTTGAATTTATTTCGTATAAAAGCTTAACTGCTAAAAAATTCTAGATTTCGAAACAACAGGAGAATAAAAGTACACAAAGAGAAAGTAACGAATCTGTCTTCCAAAACCAGCTCATTCTATTCAAGGTTGATTCAATTAATCTTTAGTTATATTTAAAGTATGAAGTTACAAATTGTTAAAAAGGTGCTAGACCTGCTCGTAGATTAAGATATCAAATGTATAGACGAGATAGAGAGTATAGAACCGAAAGTAGAGAGGAACTGTTCACTAATCGTTCTTGGATCTTGTTATAATCTTTTTGATACTGTTTATCCATGTTTAAATAAACAACTAAAGAATTATTGGAAATAGGAGTTGCTATATAATTCTATGAATTACTCTATTTGTCTATTTCATGAACCAACAATCTCTTTTCGCCATTCATGAGAAGTTTAGAGAATCTGAAGTAGAAAGATATAAAAAGAGTTCGTCGTCCACCACATAACTATACAAAGATTCTAGGGGTTAATGTGTTGCATAATACTCTAAAACCAAAGTCAAAACAGTTCATATAAGGCGATTTATGAAAGCAGTAGCAGCAAGATCAATTACTGCCAGCATCAAGTGTATAGAAAATATTATGTGCACAAAATGTGCTTAATTTAAAAATTTGTTTTAATATCAGCAAAAAAAAATTTAACCTTCTGAATTATTTGGTAAAGCTTGCAAATATCACCAATAACACAAAATTTGAGGATAAATTTGAATTTTCTCTTATAAACTTATTGAGTAACAAACTCTTTCAACTGGTCATTAAAGAGATACTGATTAAATACCTTAATGTATTCATTTTCTAGTATTAGTTCCAACCCCATCGTGTATATAAGGGTTAATGAACAATATTAAAAATGTATTAAATTATAACCGTTATTGTAGACAACCAATGTAGCAAATTCTATGATCAAGTTATGCAACCCAAAAGACACGTATATTAAATACCATATATTCCCAGTATTAAACTTCAAATTATTAAAATAAATTTAGTACAATTTCATTACTGACCTGTATTTGTGCAAACCGCGTTATAAACTATTCTGGCAGCTTTATCTTCGCATAAGAAATCCCATAATCCATCACAGGCTAAAATTACGAAATCCGTATTGGCAGTTATGGGAATTTCTTTCACTTCTGGTATTGCTGTTACGTAGGGTTTATATTGTCTATCACCTTAAAAAAACGACACAAAAACGGATTATTAAAAGACAATAAAGTCCCACATATATTTGAAGGTAATTATTTATTGTTTTCTACCTATTGCTCTAGATACAGCTAATTGTCCATTTACTCTCCAGGTTCCCCAAAACATCACAACACCGCCTTGTTGCTCTATTCTATCTTTTTCATCCTAAAATTAAAACAAAACAAATTAAAGAATGCTATAAAATAAAAAAGGATTTTATATCTTACTTTTCTTCCTGGTTTGTGAGGATTAACGCATTGGTTAAGTTCTCCTTTGCTAACTATTAACGCCTGGGAGTCGCCAACCCATGCTATGTACAACATTCTTTCTTTAGGCTTTAGTAGGGCACATACAGCGGTTGTACCACTACAAAACTGTCAAAAAAACAATATTATTTAAAATTAAAAATATTAAAAGAAAGATTGGAATAATTTTCAATATTAATATACCTCTTCTTTATGAATAAACAAATCGTCTGTTTTATAAAAGGCATCTATTAAGGCTTGCTCTGGATTCTTCACGAAATATTTACTCTCCGCCAAGAATTGGTGGAGATGTACAGCACTATAAGCAGCGGCGTCATGGCCCGCGTGGCCATCGAATATAGCGTAATAACTGGACGGACTTGCTTCCTAAAATAATAAAAGATAAATTATAATAGAAGAAATTTAATCTAAAGTAAAATTTTTATTGAAATGAAAATTACCTGAATATTAAACATGGTGTTCAAATCATGGATTACCACATGCCGGTCTTCCATTTTTCTCCTTCCGTTTTTAATGGCAGCTACACTAACCGCGTAATGTGGTGGACCAGGAGTTGGTAATGAACAAAGCATGCTGTTGTCAATGTACCTCAAGCAGACTTCGTTTGTTTTGGCCATTACAGCTTGCATCAACTTCAACGGTTCGTAAACTGTAAATCAAACTGTAGTTAATACTAAAACATGAAATAAAATCAACGTTTTGTACGTTTAAAGTTCTAAACACGACTAAGTTTGACATCGTGGTTGATCATGATGGTAAAATTAGAGTATGACTATTGCTTAAATGATTAGTGTAAGTTAAAAATAAAAATTATTTTATGTAGAAATTGTTGACTTTGGGTTTTAAATGGCCACCTTAATATAACAAGAAAGGAACCTTAATATATTATTAAACAGTGTTCTTATCGTATACATTTATTCATTATCAGTTTTACGTAGTTTGCGGTAAGCAACGTAAACTTTCGTTCATTTAAGTACTACAACAGCTATCAAAATTACAAAGAAACAAATGTATTCATGAGTTATAGTCATTATTCTTAATTGACGTACATGAAACGTTAGGTAATACGTAATTACACGTTGTTCAACGAATTAAACAACACATACTTAAATGTAATTGTTAAAAAACTTTTAACAATCACCACCATTGTTAAACATCAAACCATAAAATTTAGTTTTGTATTAATACACCACAACTTATAATAATAATTAATATGAAACGAAAATAACACAAGTATTTATTATATAAGATGAGTTAAAGCACCTATTTCCTATTATCCAATTTATATATTTTTAATTATATAATAGATTAAAAAAAAAGATAATTTGTTTCGTTCCGTGCAGATTTAATTCCAGCAGATTTAAATTCGTAATTTGTCAATAACAACCGGATTCTCAATTATACGATTACGGTACCGTTAAGAAAATTAGTCAAAATGCAAATGGTGGTTCACAGTTAAAAAACGAATAACGTGATGTTAAGATAGAATGTTTAAAAATGTGTCTTGCGTAACGATTGTAAATAAAAAATCTAAAAATATCGTTCTAGGAATATTTTGTTTTAAATTTGTGTTTTATCGATTCTTACATAGGTTTATCTATAAGATCTCGACTTTAAAATGAAAAATTTTTTAATTCCATTATAAACAGAATTAATTATCTAAAAATTTAATATCTGACATAAACCTTACGAAACGGTTCTTTATCTATAAGCGACTTCTTTTCTTATCGGAAAATATTTATTGAATCAGAATGAACTGTGCAATTTGCTGAAATTGATTCATCATGAAATATGCAATTTTAATAATTTTATTCATAACTCATTCAACTCTATACTATTTAGCTCATTACTAAAGTATCAATTACTCATATTCAGTTTTGTTACTTGACTTACACTGGATTGAGACTAATAAAGTATGGAAAGGAGCTGACCAAGAAAATGAGAGTGTTTAAATCGATAATACAGAAACAGACATCTATAACAGACGATATTTGTACATAAAACCCGATTAAAATAGTTAAATCTTAAAAACGATTGTGATATGTGTTGTAAACAAAGAGAATAAATAAATAAACACTACGGAAACGGATGTAAAAGCAGATAAGCGCAGTTACAAACTAACATTTTTTCAAATAAAAATAAAACGATTTAAACATTAACAATAAATAACTTTTGTACTTCATCAATATAATGAGATCTTGGTATCTGTTCAAGATTATTTCCAAAATTTCTATCTAATATCTATACAAGTTCTTATATTATAATTAAAAAATAACATCTTTCTATAATCTTTAGCATGTACAGGTGTGTAACGTTAAATATTTATCTCTTGAGGATAGAAACAGTTAGATTCATATGTTTCGCACCAGGAAATCTGGTAGCGCAACGAGTCGGTTTAATTTATTATGCGGTGTAGCTCATTCACGCGGCTGCAACGCTCGAGTAAACGGTTTGAATGCCTAATTACGATGCCAATGAGCCGTGGTCAATATTAAGAATGCACCTTCAACTTAGAAATAGCACCTGGTGCAATTTACAGTCATCATAGAAATACACGCGCCGACGATTTTGATTGAATTATAATAGAAAATGGGATAAAAATATCTTTATCTTTTATATTATTTATTTTTTTTGTTTAATAAACAATAACATATTTAATTACTTTGATAAATGTGTTATTTTATTAGTTTCGTTATAGTAATATAAATGATAAATGTTTCCACTAAATGTATATAGTGTGATGATTCAACCAAAATAAAATTAAAACCAGATGGGACATGTAAATGTAAACTGACGCATTTCTGTGTCATATGTTGCAAATGTCACGTGTATTCTTTATAAGCAATTAATGTAATCGTTTTCATTTAAGAATACAAGACTTAAATAAACTTAGCTCAATATTAGTTATATACATACCTTCTGCATTAGTGTTATATCCACAATCAACAGGATTCTTCGTACAATTCTTCCTGATCTCATCTATAATAATTTTTATTAATGGCGCAAGAAGACTGGGCGGACATTGTCTGAAAAAAAAATAAAAAGAACACATGATGCATAGTTTGCAAATCCAATTAAGCAATGGTCTTCATAATAGGAGAGTTCATTAAAACACTTCAAGACGCTAACCAAGCGTCGGAATACGTTGACCTTAATCGCGTGCAAAGACAACAGCCTTATACAATATTGCATTACAAATGGCATTGTTGTGGCTGCATACCACCATCTGAAACGAACGACATATAATACGATCGTTTCGCTATCTAAATTCATTTTAAATTGTTGTTCTCGGGAATATTAATGAAGAGTATTTCACACGATTCTTTCAATCAAAAATAAGGTATAATTAAGTTTATTTTTTAAAACAGAAAAGATGACTAAAAAATTAAAATTGTAAAAGTAGGTGGTTTCAATTACGAGTTGTTGATAAAAACAGTTAGAACTGATTAAAATTATTCATTTTCTTTGTCGGAAACAGACGCAATAACGCCGCTCAGCGAATTGTGACGTAATGCTTTCTAATTTCGACGATGTGTACAAAAACTAAGCTTCATGGCTGCGTGAATTTGCTCTGAAAAAAAGGAACACGCATATACATCATTTATTTGCTAATACTTTCCTTTTTTCTTCTTTCTCTCCAACTTTTTTCAGGGTAGATAAAAATTGTTAGTGAAAACTAGGACAGCAACTCTCTACTAATAATTAAATTATTAGAGATTTTAGAGGTATTTTTATATCACATTTTTAAAACATAAAAGTCGGTTTTTATTACTTTGTTTTTGATAATAAAATAAGAAAACATTTCTATTTATATCTAATTTATACAACTTAACTGTGTAAAACATCCAAATAATTCTACAATTTATCAAAAAAATGTAAAATTTCTATCAAACGTTTATAAAGCATTTTAAAAATAGCTCAGTATTAAAAAAAGCTATTTTTAAATATTCAGAGTTTACAGGAAATTTATTCTTCTAAATATTATCTTAAAAATTAGACTCAAAATCTTCCTAAATGACTGAATTGTGCTATATTTTAATACAAAACAATGCAATTGTTTAAAATACAAAATTTTGTAACGTTATACACATTATGAGAATCTTTATTTGTGTAGTCCAAACAAAAATAAAATATTGCCTTTTAACACTGGATATCTTGTAATCCGAATCGCTAAGGAGACAGTGTATTTGTTAGTTTGTTCTTACCAAAGCTAAGTACATACATCGAGGAATCACCGGAACAGTTTAACCTATGTATTATGGCGACTAAACGAGCGCATAAAACGCTAAAGCTTAGCGAAAATGTTCTAACAGTTAATAAACAGTGGTGCAAGCGGAAAATCGTTGACTGCAAAACGGAAAAAATCTCTGCACAATTCAGATTACCCCCTATTGGATACAGAGTGTTTATAAACGGTTCTTGTCATAAAGAAAAAGACACGCGAACGTAACCAACACTGTTTAAGGGAAAAAGCTATGCAGACTTATGCCAAACATTACAATGATAACAAGTTTATTGCAAGTAAGGCTAGATAAACCAATAAAGAAAGATATAGCATTCGCAGATTAAAAGTTAGTGGAGAAAAACTGTCAAATGATCCTACAGTGGTTCAGCTTTTTCTGAAAAAATTACAGAAAAATGAAAGATCGTAAGATTTTACTTATTTTAGAAGTTGCTGCTATTAGTGCACGTCAAAGAAACATCGGCGGCGAAAAAATCCCAAAGAGAGACTAACTTTATGCCAGTGGCGATGGTACTCATAAACTGAAAAGGCATTAAAAATGTTAGTATTCTAGTTTGGACGACATCCGCTCTATTCGTTGAATGATTTCATATATCTTTTGTCAAAGAAGTAAGAATATTTCAAAAAGAGAACAATGCTCCCAATCTTGCTTCAGAGGTGCAGTTAAGAAGCGATGAAGGTGAAATTGTAATAATGTTTTTGCACCCTGTTTACTTCAGCCAATGGATTAGCGAGTCCCCACTGTAGTTAAAAATATTACAGTAAAAATGATCTGAAACACTAAAAAACTTAATGGAGTATTATAGAGGATACAAAATAAAACAAAAATATTTATTACGAAACTTCATCTTTAATGAAAAAAGGAAGAACATATTCCACATGCTTTTCTTATAAACAACACTATGAAATTTACAAAAATGAGTGTGCATGCATACATCGCCCAAAAGCGATTTACAAACACAATAATAATTACAAAATGTAATATCATTACTCGATTGATTTTGTTGATTAAAAGATTCGCATCGTACAAAGTAAAAGAAACAATATTCTAATAAATATAAATGAGGTTGTAGCGTTTACGTATTATTTATTTCATCATTTATTTGTTTGGTGGAGTTAGAACAGAAAATAAAAATAGTATTAAATAAAACGTATTTGAAGTTATACGTTATATAATAATCTAAGAATGACGGTGTGTACTCGGTGCTGTATAATGAACCAGCTGTTCTGTTAAACTATTGTATTTTGGCATGCAAAAAATTACAGGTAAATATCGGAGAAAGTTAAACGGTGGAACACCCATGCAGTTTACTTATGAGCTAGAAATTTTCATTGTCCGACGTAAACAAAAAGAAAAACATAAAGAAATTATTCAAATATTTCGTATTGTCCCTACTTCGAATAATAATCAGTCGCATCGTAAAAAAATCATTTAATACTGTTTTTAGACATATATCATCTTTCGCACGTTTCAATATTCATCTTAATCAAAACAAAATATAAATAAATCCTTTTAATTACTAATGTACTTATAGAGCATCTTCTTATCGAACCCTCCCCGCGAAGAATTGGCTTGTTTCATTATCATTTTTTGTTATTATTATTAGTTTTTATGACTGGACTATTATTGAGACGCGGAGCTAACTTCTTTTTTATTTATTTACTTATTTCCGGTTTCAAGAGCGCGCGCCCACCCTACGCAGATCGCGGTCTACCCTAATCGCGGTGTTCCGACCTATTCCTCAAACGCCATACAAGCTTGTCAAACGGATCCTGAGCATTGCTGGGAATTGATCGTACATTGGTGTCCAACCATCCCCGCATTGGTGTTGCACCGTCACTATTATATTACGAATAATTTCCTTCAGATCCGGTCTTAACGAATTCCATGAAGCTACTGCGTCGCAGAAGAAAATGAAATCGGTTATTAAAACCGGAGGGTTGCGAACCACAAGCTCGCAAAGTCCACGAAAACCAACTTCTTTTTCATCGCAATCCCGTACATTTCTCATTGCTGTGCAACAAGGTTTCAAAATCGTCGATAAATGGGGTGCAATTTCATCAGGACAAATAAGACCCAAAGTGCATAACGAAATTGCAACCGTTTGATACATCGCTTTTGAACCCGTACAACTTTGTAAGATTTCAACGAAATGTTCGAAAATTTGACCCATATAAGGTTCGATGTTTTTTCCCATCGCTAAACATAACTTTCCAATTACCCAAGCGGCGTTATTACAAGCCCCATCAAATCTTTTGTCCAAATTTTCTATCACAATTGGAATGTAATCATGGATTTGATCGCTTATAAACGGGTAACACAGTTTTATTATTTCCCCGAAAAGCGCCAACGCTGGTTGTCTTATCAAAGGAAACTCATCTTGCATCGTATAATACAACTGTTGCACTAAATTACTATTAGTGACGAACTTAACGAAATACGTCTTCAATCCAAATGCCATGGCTAATAATAAATCATGAGCTCCACATATTGGCTCTTTATCAGGCGGATCAAAATACTCGGGTCTTTCCGCGTAATTCACTGATGCGGTAACGGTTTCGTTTATCACAATCAAACATTTTGAATAAACCACTTCCGCAAATGGTAAAAATCCGATTTCTAAAGCAGCTGCTACATTAGATAAGCATTCGGTAAGTGCCAAAAATTGATCGTCATAATAATCATCAATTGTGTTAAATTTTTGCATCAATGGTGGCATCAAACATTCAATAAATTGGGGTTTATTCAAATTATTTCCCACCGATTGGGCTAATACTGCTATAGCATCATAAAGTAGGAAGAATGACCGAGATTTGTACTGTTTAAACCCTTCGACAAACGCCCTTAAAACTACATCTATATATGGTACTAATTTGAAGTTAGCTTCTTCTTGAAATACACAAAAAGCCGATAAAGCGGCTCTTTGAACCCTTTTGTTTCCATCCAAAAAATGTTTCAACAAAATCATCATAACCGGAATAAAATAATTTTCCTGCGGCTCTTCGTTAACTATAAATCTCATATAACGACTTAAAGTCCAACAAGTTATTACTCTTATGATTGAATGGGAATGATTCATACATTTCATCAAAAAATGGATCATTTCAGGTAAATATGGAGTTAAACCGTTCATACAACCATCAGCGATCGCACCTAAAGCTAAAATTCCAGACTCTTTTATTAACGGATCATCGTGATTTAACGTTTCATTTAACAAAGGTATAAAAGTAATAAGCATTTCATCGCCAAATTTAACCGAAAGGGCATCTACAGAAGCTGCACTACATTTACGTAAAGTCCAACCAACGTATGGTTCATCAACTGAATCCAAAATATCAAAATTGTTATCCTCGTCATTGTGACAATCACCTATACCGTGTTCAGACATATTAAACGGTTTAATATCTTCATCTTTATCTGGTAAATGTTCATCATCTCCGATACTTCCTTGAAGACCGTTCATATCGTATTCAGAGTACTTCATATTGTTTAATAAAATCGGTAATAATTTATCGATATAAGGCATTAAGAGATTTCGGCACGTCGGTAATTTTGAACAAGCCAACCAAAATTCGCATGCTTGTAAAGCGATGTTGTTGTCTTTGCTTTGCGTTCTTTGCAACATATACTCAATTAGATTTGTCATATGAGGTAAAATCACCGTATCTCTATTATCTATGAACGTCACGAATCCTAAGCAAACTCCTTTTTGGATTTCGGGATTATCGTCGTTAACGACTTGAAGTAATTTATTTAAATAAGCGTTCGAATCAAATTCCTTCTTGATCGAATCGTAATGATCTTGAAGAGATTCGTTGAGAATTTTTAATGCGTTTTTTCTAACCGCATCATGCTTACTTGTTACGCAGTTGATTAATTTACTAAGAACCGATTTAATTGAGGCGTCAAAATTTTCCTCGGAATTTTGTAAATTTGTTAAATAATCTTCGCAGATTTTGAACAAAGCGCTTAAACCAGTTTCGGAAACTTGAGAATCGGTCGAATCTAACATATTTATCAAATGTGGTATTAATTCAGGCCAAGAATTCAATCCACCTTTCCATAAAACTACATTAATCAATGATGTAACACTTCCTCTTACATCCTTGGAATTATCCTTCAAAAGCAACAATAGTATTGACCTCATCCCATCGATTGTGTCTTTATTTAAAGTTGCGTATGTTGCAACTATATTATTTTTTAAAATTATTCCGGCTAAAGCTCGAAGATCTTCGGAAAACGAATCGGGTTTACCGAGTACAAAGAGCAAGTAATTTACGAAATCCGGATAGTTTTGAAGTAAAGCTATTTTTTGGTGTACGTTCCTTTGGATCTCTGTATCCGGAACGAAGGACTCCTGTAGAACATCAATTACCGAGTTCATTGTTTCTTCTTGCGGTGTCCAATCTCCGAGACTCATTTTTAAGACTCAGATTCTGGTCGTCTACCTAAATCAAAAATTTTAAATAATTTCCTTAAAACTATCTCTTTAACAAATAATTTTTAAAATTTATAAAAGTTGTGGTTTATATATTTCCAGCTATCTTTCAAGAATTACGTGTCATAATTTCTCCGAATTGACATGTTTTTATTTAATAAATTAACTTACATAGAAATTCAAAAAACAATATTGGAAAAGAAATATTTAGTTCAATGGAGCAATAAATACGCAAAAAATTTGTTGAATCACCCAATTATTTTATGTTATTAACAAATTTAAACCTTGAATTATTCCGGTAGATAATGCAATATTGAAGATAGTTAAATTGTAAGAATTTTATTCAAATCATTGTTTGGAATAAAATTGTACTTTTTCTCTCTTGTGTCTTCATCTACTTTCTCCAACGAAATCTTTAAAGGTCACCTCATGTGATTCACATCCTCTATCAAATACAACGTTGCCATAAAGTAAGGAATATGTTTCCCATATTCGCAAATGGTCCTGTAAATGATAAGATCTTTTAGATGATCAGATCAGAAGAACATCGGAAAAATCATCGGAGTTTCCAATAGAGGCGTCTAGGAAGACCAAAGACTGCCTTGACTCCCACCATGATCAAATCTGTCCGAGACAAGGTTTTCCAGAAGTCCAAGAGGTGTCTCAGAAAACAGGCTAAGGAGCTGAATATCAGCAGTGAATCTGTGTACAGGATCGTCAAACATCGTTTGGGGCTTTGTAGCATCAAAATGTAAAAGACTTACACTTTGATGTAACAGATGAAAGCCACTCGTTTTCAGAGATGTCGCGAACATCTGTATACTACGCTGTAAAAAGCAACTGTGCTAATTCTGACAATTTATTGTAAATATATAACATCCATAAAAATACTTCGACTTACATAGTCATTGGCTTGGTGCTGAAAATATCCGAAAAGAGAGAGAAAAGCTTGATAATAGCAATTGCAGCAATAAGATCTGTATCTAATAGTTCGTAACAAATATAAAAAGGCCGATGTCATTTTATACAAATAATCAGGAAGTACAAGTCCGCAAACAATCTTGGCGTATATTTCTACAAGAGAAAATTAGAGCAGTAGGATCAAGTATGTTTGGCTATCAATAACATTCTACGATAGATTCATACACTCCAAGAAGAGTGTAAAGTATTTTCCACTATTTCTTTCAACTATGCATCAGGATGACACCATTGCATACCAGAAATAATTATGGATTATAATAAAACAAAAGAAGACATCAATACAGTGGATAAATTATATGCTACTTAAAACTGTGCTCTGAAACCTATATGAATGATATGAACCTTATGAATATTGCTAAATATATTCACAATATATTCAAGAAAAAATTCTAAAAGTGTTGTTTGCTGGGATTTTCTTCACAGACGCGATTTTGACTTAATAGCTAATCACCCAAAAATTTAAACTCGATTTGATTATCCAGAAAACTATACAATGGAAGTGCTGAGTATGTATTCCAAAACTCACAGTAACTGGTCGTTATACAATATGTGATAAACAAAAAATTGAAGACATGACTCAGGTGCAAAAACTACAGTTTTATGTTAGGTTCATTCAAAAATAGTATGTCATCAACGATTTTGTTGTGGGAGTTGTCGTCGCATCTTCTTCCCCTATTATCTCAACATTCTGCTCCTCATATCTTTTCTCAAGTACTTTCTCCTAACTTTTTTGTTATTCGACATCCCTTCATTGGAGTTTTTGTGATCAATCAACTCCATACATTTTTCTACTTTTACCTATTTCCTTCTACATTCTATAGTCTCATAAATAATAACCACACTTTTTAATCGCCAAGACCTTATTATAACGTTGTCTGAAAACGGAAAGAAATTACCACAGGTTCCAAACCAATCAAAAAAATATTTATGGATATTGAAAAACCCCTTTCTTCAACAGACAACATCCAAGACGATCGTTAAAAATTGTTCAAAATTTCATTTGTAATTGATATTATAAAAGTTATAATCATAGATCAAGACAAAGATTTCAGTTCTAAATTATTGAGAATCAAACACAAACTGGTCAACTTATCACCTTCAAAATAATGAACTACTAGAAAGTAGCCAAAATTAATTGATATATTAAATAAAATAAAATGTGTATTACACAATTTTTTTTAATACTAGCTAGGAGGGGCAGTAGCCCCTGCCCCTCACTGTGTATGTCCATAAATAAGAACGACATTACCCTTAACCATCTCAGTGCTTTGGAGACCTATCTTAAAAAGATACAAATTGTTTTATACAGAAAAACTCTTGTCTCTTCACACATAGAGAGAAAAGAAAGTGTTACTTTGTTAAACAAGCTTACAGCCTAGGTACACATTGCACCATATTCCAGGTAGAAAGAGTTATTGTTGACTTAGAAGCTAAAATCCTTCTAAAAAGAGGAGTGAAGGAAAATTTATTTTTCTCAGATAATGAAACCATTCTATAAGATCAAAAACTGGCATTAAACACACTTAATAAAATAAATAAGATATCCAAGATGATTTTGGCTATTATAAATTGGTCCTCCTACAATAAGCTATGCAAAGAGATTTATCGATATGTCTAATGATGACTGTCAAATAAGTTTAGAAGACAAAGAAACAATAGTACATTTGATGATGTACTATTGATGATAGATTTTGGTCTACCTACCCAAAATATAACTTGTAAATGTAATACAAGTCTTGTCCAAGATCTTGCTAAACCTTAATTTTTATAAGAATAATTATTAAAACTTGAGTAGCATTTCATTCAAAGATTCTAGGTTTTTCCTTGAACTTTGTTATGTTGACAACCTAGAAAACAATTGTAATTAAAATTAAAAAAAGTTATTTAACACAAATATTTCAATGTGTAATAACTACTAATAACGATAGAAATTACTAAACAGTATATAAATTATCACAACTTTTATAAACCTTAAATAAATTTTTCACAAAGCGATTCTAACCTCAAACTGAATAATCTTAATCAAACCACCAAATTCAATCAAAACAAGATGACTGAGCGTGTCAATTAAGATTTTTATTTTAAATATGTGACTGATGAAATAGTTAAACTACAACATACCAGTTTAAAATTTGCGAAAACATTACCAACGAAGTTGTAAAAAAACCGTAGGAAATCTAACCTCAAATTTCTCAGTTTGCAAATTAAAATCCCTCCTATTTTAATCAAACTAGTTCTACTAAAGTAAATGCATAAAAACAATAATATTTACCTGATAATCTTGAGCGCCAACAAAAAAAAACACACAAATCAATCCGAAAAGCTTCAAAACACTGACAGTCGAGGCGGTTTGTTTAATAATTTTGGCATTTTCATCTACAGGAACCGATTTTCAATAAGGCGGGCTTCTTCAAACGACTTTATTCGCGAACGTGTCGTACAATTTTAGTTGAGAATCTCACTTTTACGTCGTATTTACGACGGTTATTCACCGAATTCTATTGAAAATCATATCAGTTGCTTTAAACTGTCAACATTGTGTGTGACGTTTTATTTCATATCGATCGATAAAAGAAACTTTTTTTAAACGTAAAATAAACCATAAAAATGTTTGATGTAAAAAATTTTATTTTCGTTTTAATTACTATTATGTTCTATTTATTTTTATGTTACGTTAGAAAAACGTTTTAAACGTCATAATAGCATTGAAACAAAACACTATTTTCTTTGAGGTTATGTTAAGAAATTTTATTTGAATTTCGAGTATATTTTGTTGTTACTTACTTTTGAGTTAAATATTGTGTAGTCCAATCGATGATTCCACCGACGACTTCAAGATTAACCAAGTTGTAAGTGGCTAACCTAACAGGTAGTTGATCATTAGGATTAACCGTTTGGGCAAAACACTCAAAAAATCTCTGATAAACCGCCAAATAATCATCTTTATTAGCCATAGTTTCTTTTTAAACACACGCACAGAAAACTGGTATTTATTTTTAAAATTTAATTTTCTTTTAGGCACGGAATTTGAGAGCACAGTTTGTTTTTTCACCGGCGATATGTGTATTTGTACTAATGAGTTGGGTTCGTTTGCTTTTTGATATTTTATCTCTCTCTCACGATAGGTAGGTATTTTGGTTGGCACTAATCAAAAAAGATAGAGATATCTTTCGGTTGATTAATAATAATAATAATAAATTTTTATCATTTATGGAATCATAAAAAATATTAATTATAAACGCAACGTTGTCGTCGTAGTCGTAGTAAATAGAGTGAGTCAGAGAAGCGATGAGAATCTCGTGGTGTTTGCAGCACTGCGTTCCATTGGTTACTACAACCAAGTTCCCAAGTTGGTAACAGGAAAATACCTAACCTCATCTAGCGGAATAAAATGAAAATTCTTTTATAGTTGTGGTGGGAAATAATTAAAGAAAATAAATTGAATTTTAGAAAATGACTCATTTTTAATCGGTTTCTCCAATTTATTTATTAATAATAGAATAAATTTAATTTTTAATTTCATTTTTTTGTAAGGATTTGAATAAATTCAGGAACAGGAAGTTATTTTCTTTGCATACTGGAGATTAGGGGCCATGATTCAGCAAAATTTCATTTCCTTGAATTTCCAAGATGTGGACATTCACGAATTATGACTTACCATCTCATCCTTCAAGTTTCAATCTCCTAGAGAATAAACTTTAATATTGTTTTATCTTGCAATCTGCTTGACTAGAAATACAGGAAAACTCTCAATTAAGTACCCACTAAGAACAATTAATACAAGAAAAGTAACAATAAAATGAAATATAAACTGAATTAAGCATCATCATCATTGACACCACAACTCCTGGTGAGTCTTGGCCTGTTCTAGAATCAGTTTCTAACTCCCAGCATTTTCAGACTTTCTTCCACCTGGTTCTTATATTCAACCCCTTATCATTAATTATATGAATTAATTATGAAATGATTATTAAATAATAATAATAATAACTCATCTAACTCACTCATAACTTCACTCTATTCTTCTTTTAAAAGATTTTTCATTACTTATGACATATATTACCTATAAAAATAAAGACACAACTATCTTCTTTATCTATATTTATTAAAATAACTAATAATTTAACAAAACAATGTCATACTATTTTTCACAAAATAGCACAATTTGTTGATGCATCAAAAGATGGAGGCAACTCCCCTTTCATTTCCTTTGCTTTTATATTTAAATAAGTGTGTTCATACTCTTTTTGTAAATAATTTGGTAATGGTTTATCCCAATCTTTTGGAGGTTCTGTTCTTTTTGTCCATATATTATTACTATAATGGCCTTTTAATCTTTGTAATCTACGTATTCGTTCACTTTCAATCAATTCTTTCTAAAAACGAAATAAATAATGTAATTGTGAAGAATGTATGTTATAATGTGTATTACTGCAGATTTAACATCTTGTTTTTCCTTCCATCTAACACAATTGTCAGCATCCCTTTTCCATTGTGAACAATCTATGTACTCTCCAAAAATGAAATATTGGTTAAATCTTGCTTTTAAAGATGTACAATCTGAATATTCATCTTCGTACACATCACACGATCGTATCTGGAATGTTAAAAAAAAAATAAATTCTATTTGCAACATAACCTCATTTTTTTAATTCACCATCCATTCCCCATCTAAAAATTCTTTTGATTTATTTTCGGCTTCATTCACATTCGACATGATTATATATATATTATAACAAAAAATAATTTTCAACTTCCTTTAATAAATGAAATAATCATGTGCGAAACATATATATGACATTATACAACCCATATGACATTTATAAAATTACACATAACCTAAAAAAATTTTAGTTTTGACAGTTGACAGTTTGATTATTGATAAGTGGTATTTGTTGTAATAATAATAATCATGGTTGAAATCGCTGGAAAATATAATTTAGAAAGCAATGAGAATTTGGATGAATATTATAAGGCAATTGGTAAAACCTAGTTTTTTACTTTATTTAGAAATAATGGCAATTTTTTAAAATTAATAGGTGTCCCTTTTATACCAAGAAAAATGATGTGTAGCAGTCGACCTGAGTTAACAATCAGTGTTGATGAGAAAGGTGAATGGACAATTAGTTCAAGTACATTATTAAGAACTGTAGTAATTACATTTCGATTGGGGGAAGAGTACAATGAACATATGCCTGGGGGAGTTACAATTCAGGTAAAAAAATAATGCATTTAAATGAGAGATTTAAGATTTCTTATCTATTTTGTTGGATTAATCAGAATGTATGAAGATTAAATGCTATGAAGTGATTTCTGGTTTATGCATCATGTGTGTATTATGAATCATTAAATGATAATGTTGTTGATAATTTTTCTCAATGATTTCAACTAATAAATTCATCAATAAATTATTGTGCTCATTTTGTTCTAGAGTGTTACAACTCGTGAAGGTGACAGTTTTGTAACAGTATCAACTGTTCCAAATGGGACGAAAGTCATCCGTCGATATGATTTCAATGAAACTCATTGCATCTTGGTATGTATTAATGTATAGGTGTTAAAAACATTGTGCACACCATTAAACTGGTTATATATGAAATTTAAATAAGAAATAGATATCAATTTTGTTGTTTTCCCAGTGGTAAGCACAAAATTTGAGTTTTGAGATTACAGTGAAACCTCTCAAAAAGCTGACACTCATGGTTCTGATTTTGTAGACTTATTGGAGGTGTCTGCCTAATGGTGTGTAAAAAAGAACTACGAAATTCTAGTATACTGCTTTCAACAGTTGATATCTTCATCTTCTTCTGGATCATGTTCAATCATATCATAAATTTTCAAACTCATCTCTTCCTTTGCTGCAATATCGTCGATTCGAACAAGATTTTTTTGTGTTATGTTCGTTTCATTGGCACCCCTTTGCATCTGAACTATGGTAGATAAAGGCGTATAATCTTCAGAATCTTCTGGATCCCATTAGAATGATGTAGAATCGCCCTTATTTTCTGAAAACCAGCTTTTTTGAAGCAATTTTGTATCGTTGCTGACGAAACTTTATTCCAGGCTGTTTTAATGTAATAAAGTGTTTCAAAACATTTATGGATTTCACTCTGAAGCAGATCAAAATGATAGAATTAAAATTCTGTATGATCTCCTGGTCTAGTGGTTGACATGCTGATGCTCTATCTTTGATGCTTTACCTCACAAGGGTGGGACCCTGCGTTTTCCAAAAATAATAAAATTTTTCGTTTTTGCTGACCATTTTTCTATCAACTTAGAGCAACCATTCATTCATAATGTCTCGCGTCATCCATGCTTTCTTATTAAATATCCACGTTGCCCTGTCATATTAATACAAAGTAAAGTTGTAAGCCTTTCCTTGGAAAGTTTTCCACATCTACATTTTTCAGACTTAAAAGCAAGTGTTTTGTTCGGTAAAGCTTTGAAGAAACTGCCAGTTTCGTCGGCTTTGAACACATCTCCTGGCCGATACCCAAGGAGTAGCGCAGGCAACTTATTGCCAAATTGATTTACGTCGTCTTGATTGACATCAGCTGATTCTCCGGAAATACACTTAAAACTTAACGCGTGTTTTTTACGCCATTTTTCCAGACAATCATTGGATGACTGAAAGTTGACAACATTTAATTTTTGTGCTATTTCATGAGCTTTGACCTTCACTAAACGTCCCGATAATGGAATATTTTGGCTACGAGCTCTATTCTTAACAATTTCCGCGGCTTGAGTTTTTCTGATATTAAATTTTTCGGCGAGTTTCCGTACTAACAAATGTTCTTTTTCCGAAATGTTAACAACTTCCATTTTTTGATGCAAACTAAGATTTTTACTATTTATAGGCGCCCTTTCAAAAATCTCTAGCAATCACTATTTGCATAATAAAAAGAAAACAGGCAGAAGTCGCGCGGAAATTAAATAAATACGACAAAAAAGAAAGATTTAGTTCCGCACTAAAACGAACGGAAATAGGTAATTCCCCGGTTTATTGAAACCAGGGAATTACTTTCATTATTTGCGCGCACCGTAATGCCGTTGTTAGAGGTTCGCGTCCGGTTAAGGGAAGTCCCAAAATATTTTTGAACTACCGGAGTAAGTTTTACATGTAAAGAAATAGACAAACATTTGGTTGCAAAAAATTTGTCCGCTTTCCGCTTGAAGGGGGTATCCCCTTAATAGAGGTGTTCGCAAGGAGAGGTTTCACTGTATATAAATATATTGTTTATTGGTAAAATTAATTCTATTTTACTTTTAATATAGTATTTGAAGCACGAAGAATCAGGTGTTGAAGCAAAACGGTTTTACAAACGAGCTTAATAACAGTCACAATTACGTTTAAAAACAAGTTTTAAACATTTCCACAAAAAGTAATAATTGTACGCACAAAATCAATTTTACATTTACCTGTGATGCACATATTTAAACTCAGTGGTTGCGGTTAGGTTGAAGTTTTATAATTGTTTTAATTACTTATCTTTATGTATTTTATATTGATTTTTATGTATTTATGAAATATGGGTTAAAATAAGTACAATAAATGTCGTGTTATGATGTTAGATTTTATTGACCATTCATTTTTTCATAATAATAAATATTTTGTTTTATTTAATAACAAACCAAAAAATATTAAACTCTTAATGCTCATTAAATAAAAATTACGTTACTATTTTTTTTTATACATACATTGGATTGAAAGCAAGTAAATTAAAAAGAAACCTAAAATACATTTGTATTAAAAGAAACCTCCGCGGCTGGTTGTGTATAACAACTTTTGTTTGTTTTTCTTCTTTTTCTTCCCCGATTGCAAGTTTTTTCCATCATCATTATTTCCAACTGAAACTTTTTCAAGAGCCGCAGATAAAGCGTCAGCCAACATTGCACTTGACCGCGGAGCCGGAGTATATCCTTCAACTTCCGGTTCAGAATCAGAATCTCGCCGTCCAGCTTTTAACTTAAATTTTGAAGATTGTTTCGATCCTGTTACATTTATTAACCGAACCGATTCTTTATTTTTATCTTTATTTATCTCAATAGGTACAGTTGGATTTGTTTGTTTCTTTGCAGTGGAAAGCATCTAAAATAAACATTATTTTAAAATAAGATTTCTAAACTAAACATATTAGATTGTGTGATGGGCACTGACTTCAAAAGGCATTGAACCAATCAAAGTTAATTAACCACCGAAATTGATATAGCACAAATTATTAAGAATTTAGAAAACATCAAATTTCAAAATTCCAGATCAAATTTTGTGCAAATTTATTAAATTAATAAATTACTTTAGCAAATGATGGTCCAGCATATTCTTTTTCCAAAGAACCAACCATACTTAAGGAGCTTTCTGGAGGAGTGGACGAATATGTTTCAGAAATTGACGTTCTTGTACTAGGCGACATAGCCATTTCAGCTGCTATAATCGCCATTGCGTCTGAAAAATTCGGAAATTCTTCTGATGATGTCAAGCAAATGTTTGCTTCCGGAATTTTTCCCATAATTCGATTCTCTTCTTGTACCCAAAGTTCTTCGGAACGTTTCTCTTCACGCGCTTTGTATTTTCTGTCTCGTTTTCTATTATCTAATTCAGCTAACCAAAAAAAAAACCATAATTAATAAATTTACAAAAAAGAATATTATAGGTTATGTTTAAAGGAGACTGACTCTAAGAAGTATTTTTTAACTTACTTAAAGTTAATTAACCCTTACGTTAATTTAGAACAAATTACAATGAAATTTTTAATAGAATTTAAAAAATTCAAGGAAGTAATTTGTTCAAATTATGCATCAAACAGATTATTTACCTTGAAAATATTTTAAAGTTTCTTTTGAAACGACTGGATATTTTAATTGTATCTCAGCCCTTACAAAATGACAAGTTAATGGGAGATGCTGCAAATATCTTGTGCGATTTCTTATATCATCCATCATTACAATTTCCTCTTTCTCCAAGATTCTTCCAGTAATTTCGTGTGGAGCAAATTCTAAAGATCCATAAGTGTGTTCTAACATCCTTGCATTAACTGGATGAATATAAATATGTTGACCATCGGAAGCTATATAAAAAAAACAAAAAATTGTACTTACAAGGGAAGTGTCATAATTGTGTCTCACTGGTTTTGATGAAATTTTGTACAATTATAGAATGGACCAAAGACAATCCTATAATACAATATGTACTGCAATAATTTAATAACTTGATTCAAAAACTTATTTACCTATGTTTTTACTAACTGTTAAAGAAGTATTTACTCATTCAATTTTATTCATTTCCTGAATGAAGGCGAATTAATGAAAATTTAAATTCTGATCAGAAAGAGGAGACATATGTTGCATCTGATGATGAGAACCAGATACTGGTAATAGAGGAAGAAGCTGAATATGATTCTGATGAAATTGTTGAAGATAAATATCAAGGTGTTGCTGATTATGATAGCAAAACATTGAACAGAGTGGCATACTAACCCACCATGGAGTAGCCAAACAAGTAACTTCTCACATCTGCAGCAATCAGTAACATGTATATAACTAAACAGATTTTCAAGTTAATAATACAATATGATTGGGGAACTGGAAGACACACACGCAGCTAAACCTGAGAGTTTAGACGTCATGAATAAAATGTTGGGCGAGTACAGTCCAAAGAAAAACGTTGCGTTCCTTTATAATAAAATAGACATCAGTACATACCTATTGTATTTTAATTGTACACAGAAAGCGACACTTTTAGTTTTTAAAATATAAGCGAAAACGTACTTTTCAGCCCTTAAAACTCATCCCAGAGGCTTTTACCACACATATAAAAAAAGATATCATTTTTATTTTGGTCCATTCTATGATTATACTAAGTTTTATCAAAATCAGTGAGACAGTCAAAATTTTAAAATTAATTAAAAAATAATCGTGTTGTTTTAAGAAGAAAAAAACAACCTAATTGATTGTTTTAACAAAATTTCTCAAATCATTAATATTCCAAAGATAAAATTTCACAAAGTTTACTTTATATTAAACAATGTGTACTCAACACTTTGGACCAATTAATTATATTTTCAGCGTTTATATTTACCTTGATAAAAATAAAATATTTTATTTGCAACTTTATTGTTATTGTTCTTTGTTGCTATTAATTCTTCATTAACCCCAGAAGCAATTTCCCCAACCTCATTATTATTAGAACTTTCAAATCTTTGTCTTAAATGAACCAATTCATTTTCAACAATCTGCTCCATACATTCTTCACCAGACATATCTACTTTGTCTTTAATTTCTTCTTTTAAACATTCCAAACCAACTTTATTAAACAGTTCCCTTTCCCTATCTTTTGACATTTGTAATGCTTCTTCGATAAAACACCTTTCAGGGCTAGTTTCGTCGTCGGCCAAAGCAACTTCTAGTTGAGTTATTTCTCGATCAATTATTGACATGACATCTTGTTCGTTAGCCAAAAGTAGTTTGCAATAAACTTCGTTAACTTTTTCATCTGACATATTAAAAATAGTTTTAGTTTCGTCAATAGTATCAGCAGCTTTGTAAACAATTAAAGAACCTCTTTGACGTTTCATTAATTTAAATGTTATTGTATCATTTACTTTGTAGTGAATTTGAGGAATTATTGAAGCACTGTAATTAAAAAAAATAATAGATTTTAAAAATTGTTCAATTTAAAACATAAATATTCTGTACTTGGATATTAAACTTAGAAAATGTGGATAAAAACTGTGTTATTGAGATATGATAAAATGTACTGCAAAGTTTTTCTTTTTCACCTTTTATGAAATAAGCTCACCTTTTTAAATCTTTTTTTTGAACATATTCAAAACAAATAGGACATTGTCTAGAAGATTTATCTGTTAAAGATAAATAATGTAACATACAAGACCAGCAATAAACATGTCCACAGCGTGTTATTTTTGTAGCAACAGGTGGATAAAGACAAATAGGGCATTCGAATGATCCGGAAACATTAATTTGTTCAATCAAATCCCAATCAACCAAAATATCAGCATTTGACATGTGTTGCCTATAATCGGCGGATGATTTAACGATAAATTGGCAATTCGCTTGCAAAAACTGCTCTTTGCTGTACTTGTGCTTGAAAGAGACACTCTTGCTTCTTCCATAATTGTTGTTGATGGGAACGTTGTTTCTCGAACGATAATTAAAATTCCACAGGTCGATAGCGTTTAGTTTTTTGCAACCCCGGTCGAAAACTGACCCCAGTTCGACTTCCGCATCAGAATCAGCCATCGCTATCCGGGACATCGTGTTTCCACCAGATGAGCACGGATTACAAAATCCTCGCGATCGAGGACGCTTGTCATTACTGAAATTGCGATTGCGTTGGGGTACTGGTTTAACGCGAGATCCATCATTACTTTTTGAAGGGTATGTACCAGCTGATGGTTCCCTACGGCGACCACCTTTTGGCCAAGGTTTACTTGGAACGCCATCTAGATAACAACAAATAGAAAATTAATGATATGTTTGAAAAACGAGTGGCGAAGCCACGAGTTTTTTTTATAAATGAGTGCTTTGTCTTATGAAACGTGTTTTTTATGCTATTTTTTGTAATTCCCGTTTTTATCCTTTTTTTTTCAAACACGAGCGTAGCGAGTGGCATAATTAACCTGAGTGAATAATAACTCATTATGTGTGAGAAGAATACTATACTTTGTCCACGACTATTGAAATTGATTCCATAACTTTATTTTTTAAATAATTTTTGAATAAAGTTTAAACGTCAAATGTGACACAAATTCAATGTTACTAACTGTAACCAACTTCACAACAATTTGTCAAAATTAAATGTCAATTTTATAAAACGTCGCTTTTTTTAAGAAACTTAATTAATTTATGCTTAAATCATACGAAAAAAAGAATTTGTTTAGGTTTTTCTAATGTTAAACCTTTAGAAACTCCTAAAAAATTGAATTAAATTGACGTTTTTTGAAATTTTAACGTTTCAAATAATTATGATTAGTCGTCAAGTTTTAACCCTTTTGTTTTAGAAAACTTATTCATAAGGTATATATTATAAGCCACCAGTCGTGGACAAAATAGTTCAGACAACGTTTGTATATAAAAGTGATATAATTAAAAGGAAATAAAATATTACAGTTTAACTAATTTCGTAGCTCCATCTAGCGGCGGATAGATGTAACTAATAGAGAAATTTACAGTAACCTACAATTAGAGTTGAAAATGTTATGATTTTACTTCAGTTTTATTAACAATAATTATTATATTATCTTTCTAATAAAATCGTGAGAAGTACATGTCAAATTATGAGATTAAAAGTAATATCATGAGATCTCACGATAAGTCGATTATGGCAACCTTGGTTTGAGTACTGTAATAACCAAGGTAGATAAACATAAGGTAAATTATGCTACCACTTATTTTTTTATCTACCTTAGTAATAGCTTTCATTAACAGCGCGAATTACAAAAAGTAACTTAAAATTAAAGAGATAACTCAATTTCAATAAACAAATCAATAAAAAGAATGAAAATCAATATATAAACAATTTTTATCATTATTTCTCCTATATTTAACCTTTCTCCAATCTAATTACGCAATAAGCGCATTACAAAATATTGCTGTGACATCACAACAAAGACTGTCAAAATTATTTCTTACCTTGTGATTTTTTAGAATCGCCCGTCAGCCCTTTGGTAGATTGAGACTGAATCGAACGTGCACCCTTCTTGTCCATGACGGTGATATCCGCCAGATTTCCACAAAGTTTTGTTGATTACGGAGACAGGGGCTCCTGCGCGCGGAGTCGTTACAATGGTGGACTTCAGAGCCGACATTTTAAAAAGCCATGTTTATATTGTCACGAATAAAAATGAAACCGTGTCCAAACGACTTCTTCTGGGCCGATATTTGGGTAGGTGGGTGGTGAATCGAAGGGGGCTCTAAAGCTTTTCGGGGAGCAGGAAACTCCCTCGCGTCGAAAACGACGACTTTTTCAAGAAAAAACTCGTCACGTTCCGCCGCGATGATGGCGACGGGATGTATAATGGATGTTCACCTTCCTGTTCAAAGCGTACCGGAATTTAGGGGAAATTTTTCAATACTACCAACATTAATAAGAAAATCACTAAAATTTAAATTTTGAAATATTTTATTTTAAAATTATTAATATCATAATTATTAAATATTATGAAATACCAAAGCTTTATATTAATTAATTTAATCAAAAAAAGTATTTCTGAAAGTAATTAATACTTTTTTTATTTATTTAAAAAAAATTCAAAAAAATTTACTGTTTATAGATATACGATCAACAAATTGTTTATATGAAATTATATGTGTATCTATAAACAAAGCTATTACTTTGTAATTTAAAACGTAGATGATGTTATTGTGTAAATGGAGAAGTGTAGAAGGAAAATATAAACAAAATAAATAAATAAACACAACATGAATATCGTGATGAAAATTATCATTTATTAAATTCTTTATAAAATTAATTTAATTTAAAAATTAAACAAAAAGTTGTGTATTTAGTTTAAATTTAATAAAAAATATATTGATTTTTAATAATAAATTAAATAAATATCTTTCAAGTGAAGTTAGTTATTTCACCATGTTTTTTTTTTTAAATCGAAACAAAAGCTTATTTATTGGTTATGACATGAATGCTTAATATTTAACGTCAAAAATAAGTAATTAGTTTAAAAAAAATAATTATAAAAATCGTTTAAACGTAATTTTCCTTTGATTTTAACTTCATTGTTAGAACATACGCCTGCGCGCGGAGGAATTTGGCGCAAAAATTCCCGGCAGATGTTCTTCCTCCGCTTAACGGTTACTTTGCTGACTTACCTCGTGGAGAAGCCGTCGTTTTAACAATCTTTTCTTAAGTTTTAACCGTATTAAATACTTAATAAACATGTTTTGGGGTGAGTACACCTATAACTCATTGTTTTCACACGAAATTTCTCAAAAACATAAAGAGTTGTCTTTACGAGCGACGACCATCATTTTTACCACGTGTTACCGGCGAATTAATCTGAATTATTTTGTTAAATAGGATTGATTTTGGAGCCTGAAAGGCGTTATTCGCAAATAGTTAAGAAACCATTTCGGGTAACGATGGCTTCTTTAGATGTTATATCCTCAAAAGAAGAACCAACGCAGGTTATCGTAACATTCCAGAACAAAAATTTTCTTGCATGCACACTAAAAAAAGACGGACTCTTAAATCAACCTTTGGATTTACGTTTCCAGGTATAATTTTAATCGTTTTAATTTTATTTTTTAATTTAAATTATTGAAATATCTTGCTTATTAAATAGGAAGGGGACCAAATTTCTTTTGCTGCCAACGGAAACTCCCATGTACATCTAACAGGTTATTTAATGGATATGGAAGATGATTTTGATCTTGAAGGTGAAGAATCCGAGGATGAAGCAAATAAAGTTACAATGAAAAAAAGGCGTAACGAACAGAACGATGCACGTAAGATAAATAACTTGAAATAATTCCAATCATTCTAATTTCAAATTATTACGAAATAGCTCCTTCTAAGAAGAGTAAAACCCTCGAACTTTTAGAAAATGCTGAAGAAAGTGACTCAGACGATTCAGATTTTAGTCTCAGTAAAATTCCAGTACCATTTTCAGATGAAGATGAAAGTGGGGATGATGAAGAAGATGATGTTGAAGAGGAGGAGGAAGAAGATGATGATGAGGATGATGAAGAAGGTGATGATGATGAAGATGAGGAAGCCGATGAATTAGAACTAGAATTTGAAGAGGATGAAAGTGAGGATGAAGATGATGAGGAAGATGAAGTTAAAGAGATCAACATTAAACCTAGTAAGGGACAAAAGAAAAAGGATAAGAAGCAAGCATCAAAAGATGTTAAAAATAATTCTGTTCAGAGTGAAAAATCAAAACAAAATGATAAAAAACAAAATGAATCCCAAAAAAATGGATCCCCAGCGAAAAAACGTACGATTGAGGGTGGAGTTAGCATTGAAGAATTAAAAGTCGGAAATGGACCAATCGCTAAAGCTGGGAAATTCGTTAATGTTTATTATGAGGGAAGACTGAAGTCTAATAATAAAATGTTTGATTCTGCTACTAAAGGGGCTGGCTTTCAATTTCGTTTAGGTCGCCAAGAAGTTATCAAAGGCTGGGATGTAGGTGTATCTGGAATGAAAGTTGGAGGAAAACGACGAATTATTTGTCCACCAAATATGGCGTAAGCAAAACAACCAACCTGTTGTCTTTTATTTGTTTAAAAAATATTTCGTTTTTATTATAGTTATGGAGCTAAAGGATCACCACCAGCTATTCCCCCAAATTCCACATTAGTTTTTGATGTTGAGTTAAAAAAAGTGAAGTAAACTCAACATCTGTGAATCTTACATAACTCATTTTGTTTTTTCATCCTCTAGTTGTTAAGGTATTTGTATAACCGTTTCCGTTCATTTTTTTTTAAATGTATTTGTAAGTAGTCCTAAGTGACTATGAGTACTGTTTTGTGATTCCTTGTTCTTTTCGAGTATTACAAATACAATAATATTTTCAATATTAAATTTGTGTCTTTTTTAAATTTGTTAGAAGTAATTATTCTTATTTGTTCCTTGCAATAGAATTGAAATTATCATTTATTTCTGCTATTGCATTGTGAATAATGAATAATGTCTTTTGCCCTGAGTAACATAGTAAAATATACCTTAATTTATGTAACCCCACAGCCAAAAATCTATTGCAAGCGCTTCCTCTCGTTCGCTTTGTTGCACACTGGTGTAAAAAAAGTTTGTATAAAAGTGACTGTAAAATTTTAAAGAAATACATTGCTTGCGTCGTTATCTGCTTTTGCAGCGCTTTTTTATCAATAATCGTCTAATAATAAGCGTATAAGTTTCATAATTCATTTTGCATATAAGAAAATCGACAGATAATCTGTTTTCTAAATATTCTAATCCTTTCCTGTAATGTTGATTGTCAAAAATTTACTCTCAATAACACCACTATGTTGTAAAATACTTGGAGGTACCTTAGGGTCAAGGTAGTCCTTTAGTTATTTTATTGAAACATCTTTAAAGGTAACTTCTCTTCAGCCACTTAGTGTGAATCATTCACAATTTTCTTTGCTGATTATTTTTTTTTGTGTTCCAATTACGCGTCTTGCACATCTTCGTCTTATTGAGATTATGTATCAAGTTAACTGGTTCTTTATATAGATGATGGAGTTCAAGTAATATCTTCTCCAGATGTCATTCTCACATATATAACAGATCAATGTTAGTCTCATTGAGTTTTTTGTTTAGCCAAACATTGTTAAAAGTTGCTTTTAAACAGAAATACTTCCCAAGTATATGGAAAGTTACTGAAACAATAATGACCCCCTAAGGATGTTGCATCATATAGGCCAATCTCATTATTACTCTTACTATCACAACTAATTTGAAAAATTACTATTAAAAAGATTAAAATGTGTCATAGAAGAAAAAGCCCTAATACCAACAGATCAATTTGGGTTTCGGAATAAACATGCAACAATAGACCAAGTGCATAGAATAACGAATCCGCTTAATTGGGACACTGGTTAATCGGAACAACCGCTTATTTGGGACAAATTTCAAAGAAATCTCAATCTATTCCTCTCAACTTTTAGTCCACCACGCTTTCTCTTTCCTTCTGGCCTCATGTTGAACATTTTCTTAGGTATTCTGTCTGCTTTCATACGTACCAGATGACCATACCAACTTAATTATTTTCTCTCTATTTCCTGTACCAGGGGGTTTAAACTTAATTCTTTTCTGATGTTATTGTTCCGTACCCTATTCCTTCTGGTTTTGATAGTAGACTGCATTTGCTTTGCTGATAACATACATGTAATTCGAAATATCATTGGGAGGGAGAAACATCAAAAACTTTTGAAATGAGAAAGGGAATAAAACAAGGCGATAGCCTAAGCCTTGTCATTTATAATATTAATGGACAGAGTGATAAAAAATACAAGAACAAATAAATATTAAACAATAACAGGTTATAAAAGTTTGGAACCAGCAAAAATAAATAATTTACATTATATGCTGACTACATCGTGCTGATAGCAGAGAACCATAAAAACGCAAAGAAGTTGGTTGAAATATGGACAGAAGAAATTGAAAAGATAGGTTTGGAATTGAACGTAAATAAATGTAAAATCGTGATAATAAATAAAAAGGAAATAAGAAACAACCCGAAAGAAATATTTATTAAGGACCAGAAGATAGAACCAGTATCATCATATGAGTACTTGAGCAGTATGATATCACAAGATGGAAGGATAGATTTGGACATAAATGCAAGAATAAGGAAAACAAACAACATATATCATACTCTAAACAGAACAATTTTTGGGAAGTAGGAGATAGATGAAAAGATAAAATTGAAAGTGTACAACTCCTAATACTTATGCCAGTGAATCATGAACAAAAAGATAAACAAGAAGGAAAGATCACAGCAATGGAAATGAAATTTTTAAGGAAAATAGTGAGGAAGACGAAGTGGGATAGGATAAGGAATGAGGAAATAGGACTAGGAGTAGATCAAGAGGAGATAATCAGCAAAATAGAGAGAAAGCAACTAAACTGCTACGCCCACATAATTACAATGGAACATAACACAATAGTAAAAAAGGTGTTTGAAGCAAAGAATAAGGATAAGAAAAAGAGGGGAAGACATAGGCAGAAATGGGAGGAAAGAATAGCAGATGTTGGGAAGACTCTAGTAGATATAAAGGAATTAGCCAGAAACCAGATGGAGGANTATAACAGATCAATGTTAGTCTCATTGAGTTTTTTGTTTAGCCAAACATTGTTAAAAGTTGCTTTTAAACAGAAATACTTCCCAAGTATATGGAAAGTTGCTGAAATGATAATGATAACCCCCTAAGGATGTTGCATCATATAGGCCAATCTCATTATTACCCTTACTATCAAAACTAATTTGAAAAATTACTATTATAAAAAGATTAAAATGTGTCATAGAAGAAAAAGCCCAACAGATCAATTTGGGTTTCGCAATAAACATGCAACAATAGAGCAAGTGCATAGAATAACAAATCCGCTTAATTGGGACACTGGTTAATCTGGAAAACCGCTTATTTGGGACAAATTTCAAAGAAATCTCAATCTATTCCTCTCAGCTTTTAGTCCACCACGCTTTCTCTTTCCTTCTAGCCTCATGTTGAACATTTTCTTAGGGATTCTGTCTGCTTTCATTCGTACCAGATGACTATACCAACTTAATTGTCTTCTCTTTATTTCCTGTTCTTGTTTTGTATCCTATTCCTTCTGGTTTTCCTCAATATCTTGCATAGGTACTTCACCTCTGCTGCTGTTATTTTCGATTTGTACTTGCCAACATCGTCCAAGTTTCTGATTCATAATTAAGTGTGGGTATGTAGATGGTTTTATATAATTGTATTTTTGCTTTAGTGTTCAGTTCCTTCTTGCCTACGAGGGTGTGGTTTATTTGATAGTAGACTGCTTTTGCTGATAACATACATATAATCCGAAATTTCATTGAAAGGAAAATAGAGATGAGCAATGAACATACCTAATATTCTTGGACCTAAAAGCAACTTTTGACATGGTTAACCGTAGTATTATATGGAAGTATTTAGAACAACTAATGGTACCACAAAAACCAACAAAAATAATTGAAAACCTGTACAAGAAAGTCAAGGGCATAGTACAAATAATGGGAAAAACATCAAAAACTTTTGAAATGAGCAAGGGAATAAAACAAGGCGATAGCCTAAGCCTTGTTATTTATAATATTAATGGACAGAGTGATAAAAAATACAAGAACAAATAAATATTAAACCAATAAAAGTTTGGAACCAGTAAAAATAAATAATTTACATTATGTGCTGACGACATAGTGCTGATAGCAGAGAACCATAAAAACGCAAAGAAGTTGGTTGAAATATGGACAGAAGAAATTAAAAAGATGGGCCTGGAATTGAACGTAAATAAATGTAAAACCGTGATAATAAATAAAAAGTAAATAAGAAACAACCCGAAAGAAATATTTATTAAGGAACAGAAGATAGAAGCAGTATCATCATATGAGTACTTGGGCAGTATAATATCACAAGATGGAAGGATAGATTTAGACATAAATGCAAGAATAAGGAAAACAAACAACGTATATCATACTCTAAACAGAACAATTTTTGGGAAGAAGGAGATAGATAAAAAGATAAAATTGAAAGTGTACAACTCGGTGGCAGTCCCAATACTTATGCCAGTGAATCATGGATAAGAAGATAAACAAGAAGGAAAGATCACAGCAATGGAAATGAAATTTTTAAGGAAAATAGTGGGGAAGGCGAGTGGGATAGGATAAGGAATGAGGAAATAAGATGGGAGTAGATCAAGAGGAGATAATCAGCAAAATAGAGAGAAAGCAATTAAACTGCTATGCCCACATAATTAGAATGGAACATAACACAATAGTAAAAAAGGTGTTTGAAGCAAAGAATAAGGATAAGAAAAAGAGGGGAAGACATAGGCAGAAATGGGAGGAAAGAATAGCAGATGTTGGGAAGACTCTAGTAGATAACCGGAGGGAGTGGAAGAAGTGGATGGAGGAATAGGAAAAGATTTATTCGACGCCATCAGGCATGAGGATCAAGAGAAGAAGAAGGAGTGTAGATCGGGGTTAGGTTGTGGTGTGCCAGCCTGTCCATGTACTATGCTAGTTTGCAGTTTTTGAGTTCTAATATACAGGTGTATCTGAATGACGTTTCCAAACGTCGGAGGTGATTCTTTAGCAAATTTTAAGGGTACCTTCTTCTTCTCTTTCCTTTTTCAAATTAATTTTTGAATAAAATTCTATCGCATTTACGCTCGTTCACTCGCCGTTTCAAAATATTTCACAATAATAAGAAACACACTAACATTTAAATGTCAAAAATATTTCTGAAAAAAATTGCAAAGCCTACTAAGATTTTTTCATTATAATTTCATTCCAACTTTCGATTAAAACCCTACAGCTTAACAGTTAGTGTTTGCTTAAATAATTTTTTTCTCAGAAATTATTAAATTTTAGATTAACATCGAGACAAAAAAGTTTTAGAATAGATTTATCTATCTAACTGAAATTTTTCCAATGTATTTATTATCTTTATAAATAAAATCTAGGCATAAATTGAACGGGGTTGGTTATGTTTAGTAATTTAGAAGGGAATATTGAAAGTACAAATAAGCTAGAAACATGCCCTTTTATGAGATAAACTTATTTAAACCAACATTTTTCGCCATTTTTGGAGGGGCGTAGCTCCCCAGGGGAGCCGAAGAAAGAACCCTTAAACTTCGCTAAAGAATCGCCTCCTGAAGTTTGGAAACGTCATTCAGATACACCTGTATAAAAAGGAAAAGCTGTTTTTTCATTATAACCTAAACACATTACAAAAATAAGCAAAAAACAACTTTTATATCTCATATCTTGGTGTTTTTATCTAATCATTTTTCCTACTGGTCTATATTTATATAATATTATAATATGTGTATATAATTGTATTATTCTTCACATAAAAGTTCCGTATTCATTCTCAACTCATAGGCTGTTAATACAATAATAATTTTTTAACTAATTACAACTAAATTTAATTAACATATTTATCCACATAATATATTTCGTAACAATAAATTTTAAAGTAATCACGTGAATTTAATTCTATTTAAGATTTGTTGTTTGAATTAAGTAATGACGTTCACAATTTTTAGGTTATAATAGCTTGATAACAACTTGTTGGTCAATTAAAGATTAACCGTCATTGAATAACCCACAAAAACTTTACAAACCTCCATCTGTAGATGTGAACAAGGTGCGTACTTATTTTATTTTGAAAAACTATTTCAAAGTCTACGTTTTCCTAAAATAGTTTACCTTCACTTTAAGATAACTCGCTTAAGTTTAACCTTAAGGAAACGTTGTTTCCATAATTTTATACTTTTTTGTAGTAAACATCGTCTAATTCCTAATGTCCATCATTTCCAGAACTAGATTGCTACAGAATTTATTATCAACAGCAAAGAGTCGGAGGTCATTCACTACTGGATTAGCTGTTTGTACTAAAATGAATAAATTTGATTTACCGGAAAGATATGTTGGGAATGATAAAAGTGTATGGTAAGTAAAATTTATTTTTAAGTTGATTTTGAATTATTTCATCAACCACGTTTTTATTTAGGGTTGAATATATTCAATTGGCTTTAGAACATAAACCCCTAAATTTAGGACAAGGTTTTGCAGACTTTGCTCCTCCTGACTACATCACTAAAGCATTAGCTGATATTTCTCAGGGACCTAATGTGCTCTTACATCAATATACACGAGGATTTGTATGTATTTTTTTTTTAATTATTAAGTTTTTATTATTAATATTTTTAGGGACATCCACGTTTAATCACAGCACTTTCAAAATTATATTCGAAACTAATTGGAAGAGAAATAAATCCACAAACTGAAATTTTAGTTACATCTGGTGCTTATGAAGCCTTATATGCTTGCATAAATGGACATATTGAAACAGGAGATGAAGTTATTATCATGGATCCATATTTTGATTGTTATGATCCAATGGTTAGAACAGCTGGTGGGATCCCAAAATCAATTCCTTTACGACTAGTAAGAAAAAAACATTAAATTATTTCAAAACAAATCAAAAAATTTTTATTTTTAGAAAAAAACTTCTGGACCAATTAGTTCAGCTGATTGGGTTTTAGATCCACAAGAATTAGAAGCTTTATTTAATAAAAAAACCAAAATGATTATATTAAACACCCCACACAATCCTTTAGGGAAAGTATTTTCTTTAGAAGAATTAACTATAATTGCTGATCTTTGTAAAAAATGGAATGTTTTGTGTATTTCTGATGAAGTATATGAATGGTTGGTTTTTGAACCAAATAAACATGTTAGAATAGCTACTTTACCTGATATGTGGGAAAGAACTATTACAATTGGATCTGCTGGTAAAACATTTAGTGTGACCGGATGGAAAACTGGTTGGGCTTATGGCCCAGCAAATCTGATGAGAAATGCTCAAGTTGTGCATCAAAATTGCGTTTATACATGTACTACTCCTATCCAAGAAGCGATTGCAATTGGATTTGAAATTGAAATCCCAAAATTAGGTCAAGATGATTGTTATTTCGTTTCTTTACCTAGAATGTTAAAGGCGAAAAGAGATTATATGGCGAAATTTTTAAGTGATGTTGGTATGATTCCAACTGTTCCTGAAGGAGGATTCTTTATGATTGCTGATTGGAGTCCATTAGGTTTGTAATGACATTTTTGTTTGTTAATAAATTAAAATTTTGATTTGATTTAGAATCAAAAATTGATTTAAGTCAAGAAACTGATCAATATAAAGATTATCGTTTTACCAAATGGATGACTAAAAATATTGGCCTTCAAGGAATACCACCATCAGCGTTTTATAGTAATGAATATAAGCATCTTGGGGAGAATTTGGTCAGATATTGCTTTATCAAGGTTTGTAACTTATAATATAGTTTTTATAAGGTATTTTAATACAAATACTTAAATTTTATAGACGGATGAAAACTTGAAGAAAGCTGCTGATATATTGCTTACTTGGAAGAATAAGTAATTATGAATAATTAAAACGAACTTTAGCACAAATAAAGATATTTTATTACAATACCTAATTTCGTTCCTTTCCAGTATAGGTTAAGCTTTAATTAAATCAGAAAGCAAATAGAATCCCAGAAGAAGTCCTTAAAATGGTGATAAAATGTTTCATGTCTTACTGAGTCCTGCTTTCATTATTATTTCATTAAATCTAAACTTCTGACAAGTAATCTTTTAGGCGCTAGCAACTGTGGAGTGATTGCAACCACCTGCAACAACTTTGTCAGCAATTCTGAGAGTGTCCCATATATTTACAAGGATGTTCAAGTCTTCCAATATGGTAGTCTTTGTCGTGTCTGTATCGTGTGATTAGATGTGACAATGTCCTAATTGTTAATCATAATGCCTCAATAAATCAACTATTGCTGGCTTTAATCTTCTGCACAGGTCGAAATAGGCAATGCTACTTTTATTACGTCAATTTTAATATCATATCTCGGCATCTTCCCCTAATCTATTTTATTTTGGCCCACTTTCACCATTCTCTTGATAAAGTATCTAGGGGATAATTACCATAGTTACGGCGATTTTAAGCGCTCACATTGGCTAACAGCTGATTTTATCTTCTGCCATTCTCTTGTCTTGTCCTACTTTAAAAAAACAGCAGGTTTAATGTATCTACAGTTAAATTCTTGGCGTGGAGGATGTTTATGCATCTTTTCCATTGAAACATAATTGCTTTATTTTTGGTTCGTCTAAAAAGAAAATACTTTTCTACTCTAAAAGGGTTCAATTTAAATGTTGTGCAAACACAAGTCTCCTTTTAGGTTTTTTTTTGTTCACAATAGACTTCTTACTTATTTGGTCCATGCATATTTGCCCCGACGAGTCGTCTTCTAATATTTCGAGTAAGCAGTCTTGAAGCGTCCTCAGCAAATAAATCTTTTTAATGTCCGTTACAGTGAGCTCTCGATGAGATTTAGATAAGCTAACAATTAAAGAATCAGTTCTTCTTGATGTTCTTAAAGGCTGTTTTCTGCGTGCAACGTTTTCTGAGGAATCGTACTTTCGAAAATTTAGTTGAGCTTGATAAACCCGTGTTTTGAGCAGTTTATGTAAATAACAGGGTTGTCCACAAGTTGTTCATAATTAGTTGGCCGCCGTAGCTGATCTAATACACCTTGTTATTCTCGCTGTTTATCACCACTACATTGCTTGATTCATCTTTCCCGTAACTCTCCTCTTTTTTCTTGTACTAATATTCTAATCTTTTTAAAACTTCAAGTTGTACTTCAGGTGGCAGCACTAACTTAGGCATCATTTTTACTTGTACTAAATGAACCATGTTCTCTTAAAAGTTTGGCGATGGGAAAAGTGTTGCATTCGTTGTTGCACTATGATATTTTTTTAATTACAAATAACTTTAAACAAACTGATAATCTTTTAACAGGGTTTATGTACACGGCGTTTTTATAAACAAAGGGAAGATCAATTTTGCCATTGCTTTATTATTTTTGTGAAACGATAAATTTCAGTGCTTAAAATGCAATATCAAATCTAATCTCTGAAACACCAGACATGTGGACGAATGTTTATCCAGACTTTTCTGCTTCTTTTGATGAATATTTTAGGTCTGTAGAATATCCTACGTTTTTATAAATACCTTAAAATAGTTTAATAACCTTTAAAAATTGGAATATCAAAATCTATTTTCATTATAGTACAATCAAAAATTTTAATTAATAATTCAAACAACTTCATTTTATTGATTTACGTATTAATTAATGTGAACCTTAGTTTACCAACATGCAAAGAACTTTTGAGTCACGCAATAAACTCATTAACTCAATTATCCTGGTGTTTATTACAATTTATGGTCGCTTGTAATGTAGCAAAATTTTTGTAAAAAGATGATTCCTAGTTTTCACCTTTTCAAAGTAAAACTTGTACTGGAAGAGAAAGTGGCAAGGAGAAATTTTCAGTGAAAGTAAACAACATTTATTGTTAGTAAGTATGGAACGTTGGCGAAATAAGGTGGCTATCGTAACTGGTGCTAGCTCTGGTATTGGAGCAGCTACAGCAAAACTTCTCGTCCAAAATGGTTTACAAGTAAGAATATTTTATAAAACTTAAATAGGTTAATTAAAAAGAAATTTTTTAAGGTGGTTGGCGTTGCTAGGAGATACGAAAACATCGAAAATCTCTCATTAGAACTAAAAAATCAACCGGGTAAACTACATTCTTACAGAGCTGATATGACCATCGAAGCTGATATAATCAGCGCTTTCGAGTGGACTGAAAAAAATATCGGCCCAGTAGCAATTCTTATAAATAACGCAGGCGTTGCTCGACCAACAAATATAATCGACGGGGATGCAAGCGAATGGCGAAAAGTCTTGGATACTAACATCTTTGGTGTTACCGTTGCTTTAAGAGAAGCAATTCGTGTTATGAGAAAACATAGCATCGACGGCGTTATTGTCAATGTTAACAGCGTTGCTGGACATTTCGTTCCTACAATTCCCCTTAAGAATGTTTATCCAGCTTCGAAATATGCAGTAACCGCTCTCACTGAAACCACTCGACAAGAATTAATTGAATTAGGATCTCGTATTAAAGTTGCGGTTAGTGTTTAAATAAATGATTTAGATTAATTTATATGATTTTTTTTAATTTTGTGTAGAGTATTAGTCCTGGATATGTTGAAACTGAAATCGCTTCAAGAAATGGATTTCTTAAAGATAAACATGTAGCTAAAGTAGAAAAATACGCCCCTAGATTGTTTGCTAATGATATTGCTGAAGCTATTGTTTTTATATTATCTACGCCAGCTCATGTACAAGTAAGCTTTTTATAAGATGTTAATTTTTTTGTTATTTGTGGGTTATTAATTTTTGATTTTAGGTAACAGAATTAACTATTCGGCCTGTTGGTGAACCAGTTTAATGTTTGTTTAAACAAAAATGTTTAAAATTTTTTTATTATTATAATAACTATTCAGGATTAGGAATTTTTACTGCCATTTTAAATATATGTTTCTATCCTTTTTGATTTTATATTGAGTTAATGTTTATCTGTTATCCACGTGTGTTTCTCTGTGCCACTATTTTTTTACGTCTTCAACCGTCTACTATAACTGAAAATAAACCTGTTAATAGTACGCGTAGACTCTATAATTACTTATTGCAATATTACTCAAACGATACCAACAAACAAGAAAACTGCTGGTGTAGGTATACATATATTTTAATGGAGGCTGAAATAAAAATCCGAAATAATATGCGATGTTTTACATCATTTTAAAGTGGATATTTTTAACTTTAATTTGGCATAACAATCATTTCTTAATCATCAAAATTAAATTAGATATGATGACTTTTAAAGTTCAACAATTTCCTTTGATTTGACCCACAATTAATCATTTACGAAATACATTTTTTGAAAAAATTGTGATGAAATGAGGATGTGTTAGATATATCATCTTAAAGAGAGTGCTTTTAGCTTTAATTTGACATAAAAATCAATTCTTAGAATTCAAAACTAAACTCAACACGATTTTTTAAAGTTGAGCTATTTTTTTTCATTTCAGTTACGATCGAAATTATATCATTTAAAAAAAAAATGTTTTAGAGGAAATTTCGAAATAAAATGATACTAATCTTCTATATCATTTGAAAGAGGGGAGTTTAGGCTTTAATTTGATATAAAAATTATTTCTTGATCATCAAAAATAAGTTAGATATGATGCTTGAAAGTTTTACAATTTTCCTTGAAAAACATTTTTTTTTAAAAAAGATTATTATGATGAAGTGATGATGAAGTATTATTATTTTATTATAACGTAAACATTACATAAAATATATTGTTGAACAGACTAAATAATTTGATTAAGTGTGTTCTACAAACAAGTTTCCATTTCTAATATGTTTTTGCATATCAATAGTTATTTTTATTTACTTTTTTTTGTATAAAATGAAATAAATCGTGCTAATTACATCAAATAATAATACATAGTAGATATATTTGATTTTTAAATAAAATGAATTAATTAATAAATGATACTTTTTTGGCGTCATCAATAAGATCAGAGTAGATTTATAGTGGTATATGTGATATTGATGACGTATCATCAACAAAATGAGATGTTTTATTTGCAGTTCTTTTTAAACCTGTCCATATCAATTTGTTTAAATAATAAATATACAACCCGAAATAAAACGCAGCTGAACGGTAGTAATGTCGCGGCAAATTACGCTTCGGATCGGTGTTCTTAATATGCGCTAACCATCCTTCGCAATTTTTTGCGCAAACATCTCAAACTATAAGACGTAAACACTGCTCAAATTAACACATAGACGCAAAACAATATCCCATTGGATTTTTAGTAAATCTTCGCTACAATACCAGATTGACTTTGTTCTTAGTTTTTTTTCTGATGTTGGAACTTAAAGTGCGCGGATAGTAGACTTTTTTTTTCTTGAGTGTTTCAAATAAGTTTATCAAATGAGGGACCATAGTGGTGAAATTATGGATACCGTACAAGAAGAAGATAGCAGGTAAAATAAATAAAAAAGTAATAAATTATTATCAAATTAATTTTTTGTAGTAGAGAAACATCCCCAACCAGTTCTTTGAATAGAAAAGATTGTATTCAATCATCTTTTAATACACCCACAATAATTATACATCCAGTTGATGAACCTGAAACATCAAAATGCACTTCATCAACATCCTCCAGAAGACCCTCCGCAATTTTAGCAGCTTTAAGAAGACCATCTCAAAGCTTAGTTTTATCGGCTGCTCATGCAATAATGAGCCACAAAAAACAGCAAACTCACAACGAACAAAAACCTTTCTCAAATTCTCCGGAATCTGAAACAAAATTAATCAATATAGTTAATAATAATAAAATTGGAGAGTAAGTAACCTTTTATATTTAAAAATTTTCTTTAATCATAATATTTTAAATAGTGATGCGTTGACGACGATTTTATCAGCGTTCTATGCAAAATTATTGGTAGTTTTGGGAATTGCGTTTCCAATAACAGAAATTATATCAAATCAAGTTGAACGTGGTTATTACAAAGGATTTTACATGTATTTGTATAGCGGAAGTTTAATTTTTATGGTTTATATGTATGCTACTGTTTACCGAAAAAAAGTGGTTCAATCAATTTTTACATCACACGGTAAATCTGAAAAAAACAACATTTAAGTGTTATAACAAATAAATTCAACAAAATTGTTTATTGCAGATGATGATAAACAACAACCATTTGAAAGACGATCTTTATATCATAATGTTCAAAATGCCGAAAAGAAAGTTATTAGGTATGGAAGCTTTTACTTACGTCTTGGAGCGATTGGTAAGTTAGAATTACAATAAATTATTTCGTTCTTCACCAAGATTCGCCGATTTTATACCTGATATTTACGATTATTATTAACACTCTTAACACGTTGAGCAATTCATTAATACAGTTGCTAATTAAAATTTGTTTTTCAAGTTAACATATCAATTATTTTATCATGTTTTTATTATAAATTTCTTTAACATTAAGTCACTTATTAATTTTTAATTTGGTTAGGTTTTGGAATAGGAAGTATGGTTTTTACTGGTTTGGAATTTGGATACTATTTTGAACAAAGAGGAACCACCAATTGCAATACCAACATTTTAAACGCTATCACACCTGCCATACGAATGATATTAACCATTGTTCAAATACAGTTTATATTTCTAAATGGAAAGGTATTAAAACATTTCTTATTCTTTACTTTATTCGTCCCTCTAATTTTAAAATCTTCTGACCAAATTGTTTTAATAAGGCATAGTTATAAGGCATTTTTAAGATTAGGACGACATAGTTCTTATTTTTTTTGTTTTTTTAGGATATCAACACAGCCAAACATAGAATTATCTCCAGATTTGGTCTTATGCACATGATTGCCACAAATTTATGTGAATGGTTATATGTTTTAATCGAAGAAACTGATCATGAAATCATTCATCTAAACGGTATGAACAACGTGCTAAGAAAACTAATAATCCGTTTATATATTTTTAATAATTCTTCTTTAGATCACCACTTATATTTAAATGGATCCAGCCATGTTAACCAATCTCATTGTAAAGCGAAAGTGATGGGACCACTTATGATTAATGCCAGTCCATTTTTGTTCCCATGCACCATCGAATATAGTTTAATATGTGCAGTTATTTTGTTTGAAATGTGGAAAAATGTTAAAACAGAGAAAAAAGATGAAAGGCCTGTTGAAATAACAAAGAGGCATAGAGAATCATCTCATGATAAATTGGTTCAAATATTTAATTTTCGTAAGTAATCATTCATTTTAAAAAATTTTCTTATTGTAACATGAGTTATTTTTTTTTCAAAGATAATTGGACTGGAAATTATAAAAAATCAGCTAATCACTTTACATTAGACTGTACAAAATCCCATAAAGGCTTATTCGCAGGAATTTTAGTTATTGTAGTAACAATAATTTCATTAACAATGTTTTTCGTTTTGCGTGCTGAAAAAGGAACACCCGAAGAGGAGGCATATTTTAAATCCAACGCACAACTTGAAGTAAATATTGTTGAAATTCTTATACACATTGTAAGCACTGGAGCTGTTATAGCAGCTATGGTAAAATTTAGAAATTTGAATTACGAAAAGAGATCTGTGGAAAATACGTTAATGGGAATGGACAACACTTTATTAGTAGTAGCACAAACGGGAATGTTTATTTATTGTATGTTTTCGATAATCGGGAGCTATTTTAGGATTAAAGAAAGCACCCCAGCTGGACTTTTAGCTGAAATGTTTTCTTTGATTCAAACTTGTCTACAAACTTTATTCGTTCTGGATGGTTGGTTTAGAAGGTGTAGAACTTCGGAACAACAAAAACGCAAACCAGGAAGAGAATTAATCACGTTTTTAATTGTTGCAAACATGGCAATGTGGGGGATAAACGCTTTAGAGAAAAATAGGGCAGAATTTAGGACGGATCATTTGCAATTTTATGGAGAGTGGCCTTATACAATTATTACACACATTTCCATGCCGTTAGCTATATTTTATCGATTCCATTCCACGATATGTTTATTTGAAATTTGGAAATCCGCTTACAAATTTAAACCAAATATTAAAAATAATCTTTTTGAATTTTTATGATGATCAAATTAAAATTGTGTATTTATTGTTTAATTCACTTGTTGATGATTTAATAATGTTTATTTAATTTTTTTTATTATTAGTCTTTTATGTTAAATTTAAATAAATTTTAATTCTAATTTAATATTTTTATTTCTTACGGTTTTTAATTGGAAAAGTTGTTCATAAAATTAACTTATGAAAGTAAAAAATAAAATAACATTTTAATTTTTAAGACATGATTAAATTAGAACAGATTTCTATATTATCGTTAACATATAAACGTCAAATTCTTAACCTATAATTTAAAAATGGCGCCAATGTGTTGAACCGGTAATTGACCGATATATTAATAAAGTGTTCACTTTAGAATAATTTAACATTAAAAGCTTAGGTGTAACATGTATTTGCATTGTTTACTATAGCGTTTTCTATTCTGCTTGGTGAGTGTCAATTACGTTTAAGAGTTCAATCCGTAAAACGAATTCTTTTGCAGATCTTGTCAAAACGCAGAATTATGTTTATATCCCAAAAGTTTATAGATACTTAAATACTCTGATTGTTTATGTTAAAATCTTACGACGATGGATTTGTTAGAAACTTGTTGTACGCAACTAACATCGACAAAGATAACTGATCGCAAACGTGGTCAAGTTAACTTAGATGATTTGCTAGATAAATCTAGTATAATTAAAATGTTGAACAATAATGAAGGGCGGGTTACTTGGAATGATATTGTGAGATCAGTACATTTACATTTACTTAAGGTAACATAAATTTTACTTTTTTGTATTAAAAATAACTAATTAATTAACATAGGAATCAGAACTTCTAAAAAAGAATCAAAAGAAAAGAACAAATGATGATTTATTAGTGACTGTTGTTCAGAAAGCAAATAAAGGAAGTAAGAAATTAATCATTTTTACAACAATTTTTTAAATTAATTAATTTTTAGAACCTCGTGTATCAGCAGTAAATTTAATTCAATATGTTCTGCAATGTTTTGAAACACCTACATTAAAAGAGTTCTATTTTAATACTTACATAAGAATTTTGAGACATCACATTCTCTCACAATCATATTATTTAGGACTTTTGGATGAGGATGTTTGGATAAGTAAATATTTCATTTTAACAAAAAAACATTTTAATAATTAAATTTGACTTATTATAGCAATTCTAAATTTTTTAAAAACATTATCATTACAAGAAAACTTTGAAGACACGAAAGTAATTGAATGTATCAAATTAATATTTAAACATGGGCCACAATACAAATATCCAGTTTTAAATTATCGCCAGCATTTCGAATACATTACAAAATTATGTAAAAACCTTCAAAGAACTTTACCAAGTCGTTATAAAGCGGAAGTCTTTCAAATTGTGATCGATTTTTGTAATTACACCGCCTCAGATTGTTGTTTATCTTGTTGTAAATTGGGAGAAGAAATTTTTTTTAATTTGCATCCACTTTATCAAAGAAGGGTAGCCGATGATTGCATTCGCGAGTTGTTATTTCAGTTTTGTCTCTTACAAATTAAGATTCACCACCCGTATGGAGCTTCAAGCAATAATGTTGAAGCATATGCTCATGATTGGGATAGATGGAAAAAACAATTAAGAACGATTTATATGATTGTTGAAGATGAACTTGTTCATTATTCAAAGATGACAATGACAAAAATCCCATTTTTGTATCAAAGTGATAATATTTTAGTTTTATTAGCTATTGCTGTTTGTAAACAGGTAAAGAACATTACTATCTTTTTGTTTAATTGTTTCATTTAATCAAGTAAATACAATTAGAACTTGAGATGGATTTATTAATTTATTAATAGGGGTACAAAGCGGTTGTATTTCAATAATTTTGATTTGGAAAAATTTTTATCAGCAAAGTGAGCTGGAAATTATTTTGAAGTTACAGCCGCTCTGTACCCTTATTGAGACACCATAACTCACAATATATGAATGCAGTAACTGTAGTTATGAAACTACTACGCACTTGCACTGTCCCACATAAAATGCAACATAGCTTAATAGTACAGGCATTGGGTAGTTTTGCAAAGGAAAAGTTTTGCTTGGTGAAATCCTAAGGTGATGTCCTTATGATAACTCTGACTTTTCAGCTTAAGAGACGCATGGCTAAACCCGAATCCCTTTATAGAACCCTTTATCTAACAGAAGTTGGTCAGAATTGGTAGCTTTGTATCTGGTTATAAACCTATCACATCCGGTGTGCCTAAGGGCAGTCACCTTTTTTTATATCAAGGTTTTACTGTAATGTCAAATTATATGACAAGGTTGCATTTTATGTGAGACAAAGTAAATAGATACGCCCTGGTTTCTATGAAAATATATTTTTATATATTGCATCTTAAGTGAAATTCACTGTATATTTAAATTTTCTTATATAGATATTTCTAAGTGATGACGTAGATATAAACGTTTCAACCTCAATGTTACTTGATTCAACTACCAGTGATATTACTCAATCATCAAAGAGATTAAGATTAAATAATGTCGGATTTGATCAATTTGTCTCGTCCTTACAGGAGTCAAAAAGTTATCCAAGGTACATTGATTTAATTATTTTTTATATAAATACACTTTTAATTAATATTTATTTAAATCAACTTTTGTAGAGTTTTCGTTTTAACAGAACTTTTAAAAATTCACCCTGAAGTGATAAATTTCGATCAATCCGCTGATTTATTAAAGATTTTGGTAAATATGTACAAAGAAGTTAAAAATGAGCATGTTTATGATTGTTTTACAACTATACTTGATATTCAAAGCAAAAAATTTCCTGGTAAAATATCCGAAGTGGAAGATATTTGGAATTTTATTGCTGATGAAATTCTTAGGTATCAAAAATAACTAATTCATATTAGCCATTTGAAAACGTTTCTTTTCATTTAGATCATTGGGAATTCAACAAAACGCTTCCTCAATGCATTCTTTGTTACAATCCCTTATTCACCATGGAAAGATAAAAGACCCATCAGTAATTTTTCAAACATATCTTTCTGGTTCATTAATATTAGAAAATTACACCTTAAAAACTTTGTTGGTTATGAACAAATATTTTGGAATTCCCGATGTAATCAACGGAGAACACTGTAAGAAGAAATTAATAAATTGGATAACAGAATATGATCACACAAAATCGAAAGTATTTTCAGGTGATCAAACTTTATTCGCACAAACGTTGGTTTGTTTATGTTTAAAACAAAGTCCAGAATACAAAATGATAGAGTCCGATCATCACGAAAGAAATTTTGAAGATGTTTTTATTCTAAATGGATTTCAAAAACTGATAAAACCCGTCGATAAACCAAACGAATCTCAGGAACCTATATATTCTAGTATTCATAAAGATTTACTTATGGAACTGAAAGGATCCCTTCACCGCTTTTTAACAGAGTTTACTCAAAAAGATTCCGATTTAAATTATATCCAAAACGCCATAAATGCTGTGATATTAGTTGGATATGTTATTGTTGAGTTGAATGTTTTAAAAATTCAATACAACATTGAGAATCTTTTGCAAGGATTAGAAATTGAACAAGTTTTTATTACCATATGTCAAGGGTTATGCCATCATTTTTCTGATAATAATCTGAATAGGAACAGAACGTTTATTGATACATTAAAAGTTTTTAACAAATTCCTCACAAATAAATTTGATAAACTCGTCGCTAAAACGCTTAGAGGCTTCATCAAAACGGAATTGCTTAGTTGTATTTTTGAATTAGTTCTTGATGATGGTGCATCAATAAATATGGACGTGAGAGTTTTAAATCTACTTAATGAAAGAAAAGAAACGTTGAGGTGTATTTTGCGTAATTTTTCGATGTATGATGATAATGGTAATGCTACAGACGCTGAGGAAAAGACTATTCTCAGTTTGTTGCAGTGCAATTATGAAGATGATGATGGAGTAGATTTGGTAAGATTGAATTATGTATTAATATGTAAACATTGTTAATTAAGATTTTGTATTAGGCTATGAGTATTCTTGGTTCAATTAAACATTGTCAAGTGGGTCGACTTAGTGAAGAAATGCTTCAGCCAATTTTAGAAGTGATGGCGTATTTTTGGAAACAAAAATCGAAAGATTATGATGTTGCGCTAAAAATATTGGATTCTTGTCAAAGTAATTAAACGATTTTTATTCTTTAATTAGCAAAATTGTTAATATTTATTATTAATCTTTAGGTTTAGTTCAACATATGAGAAATTGTACATCCAATGATTTAAATCAACAATATTTTGGATTGTTGGCTAATATTTTTTGTCACCAAAATAAATACGGGTTTGAAGTTAGCATAAAGCTTTTGGAGTGTTACCAATTAATTATTGAGGTAAACAATTTATTTTTAAATATAATCTTTCATACAATTCAAAATCATTTCAGAATAAACTTCAAATAAACTATAAAAAATACACAAATTGTTGTTTGTCACAACATATTTGTAACTTTTTAAAATCTCATTACCATCTTGTACGATTGAAAACGATTGATTGTTTAATATCGATATTCTCAAAAAGTATCAATGAACCATCAATAAATTCCTTGCAAAAATCGATTTCTGACATAATCGATTCTTCTATACAAGAAGTTTTTGTGATAACAGAAAAATTAAATGAAGATAGCGTTATTGATGAGAACGTTTCAAGAACTTCCAGCGTTCTTCATACATATTGCTCGTTAATTTTTACAAATTCTATATGGAGAACAAAATTTTTGTACTCATTATTATCTCTTATTTTGGATAAAAAGTTAGATATGAATTTATCTCAAAGAGCTTTAAATTTGTTAGCGGAAGATTTAAATTATAAAAGTATATACGAGTTTATTGATAAACATATTTCTTATATATTATCTCAATGGTATTTAAATCGAAAAAGCTTGGATACTTTTCCTTATGGGTTAACTGGATGTGATTCTTATCAAGATTTCTGTAAGAATTACATGAAAGTAATTGTACCATTACAATTAAATGAGAATATTGAAGAGATTTGTAATGTAATTGGAAAGAATAAACGAGAGATTTTCGAGATATGTTTTGTTGAACTTATGGTTGGATATTTTTTTAAAGTTACCGCAAAAAAGTTTAATGCCAAAGAAATAGAAGCAGCAAATAAATTCTATGCTCAAATTGAAGAGGAATTATCAAAAACACATCTTAAAGAATTACTTATCACTAATATTGATAACGTTTTAATTAGTATTTTATCTCGTGTTGTTGATGACAAGATATTTAAAACGTGTTTTGACGTGGAATATGTTTTAGAAATTAATGAATACCCTCGCAGTTGCATTCCAGAAATATTAAATGTTATTTCTAATAAAATTGAAATACAAGACTTCTTAACACATTGCATCTCTAAACATCCAGAAAAGATCCAATCGATTTTATTAAATTTAGCGATGAATGTTTACACAACAACTAGTACCCAACACAAATTAAAAAGTTTACATCAATATTTTGGGTTTATTGATATGGTCATTTCAATAATAATTACTCCAAATTGTGAAATAGCAAATTTTTTCATAAGAAATGTGCTTCATACCCTACTCTATTTCATAGAAATGAAAACCGGTGAAATAAAGTTTAATTCAGCATCAACCGATTACTTAATATCTTTTATTAAAAAGATTGTATCTAATTGTCACGATAAATTAGAACCTTTTTTTGAAATAATTGTGACTAAATTGTTAACATTAAACGAAGAGTTACCAGATAAATGTACAGATGTATTAAGGTTGTTGATTGTTGAAAATGAAAAAATTTATAAGGATATTATCCCTAATTTAGACCCTTTTCCTGAGACAGATAAATTATTAGATATAATCAGCGTTTATAAGAGACTCCGAATTGAAAAATGGGGTACTTCTTTATCTGGAGAGATTCAACATTTCTTAGACGCTGGCTCGTCAATAAATATGTTCCGGTTGGAAGCCTTAAAACAACTCAAAAAGAAACTCTCTGAAAATAAATCTGAATTAAAAGAAATGTTTGAGGTAGCAAGCAATGTTAGGGATTTTTCGGAAGAAAAGCGAAAAAATAAGTTATATCGCCTCGTTGGGTTACTTGTAAAATTTATTTCTTCTGATAATACAAGTGTAAGTTAGGGAATATTTATTTAAAAGTATGTTATTATAAAAAAAATTCATTGTAGGTTAGTATTGAATCAGCTCGTTGTTTGGGTGAAATTGGAGTCTCAAACTTAGCAACTTTAATTTTACAATCGGATGATATTTGTGTAGAAAATTCTTCCTCTCCAATTCAATTATTAACATCGCATTTAATTAAGACTTTATATCAAAGTATTATTGATCAAGATATTTATGTTGTGCAACATGCGAGTGTAGTTTTACAGAAAGCATTAAGTACTAAAGAAGGAGTTAATTTTATGAGTAAGTTATTTTTTGTTGAATTAAAATAATAATGGGTAATGCAAAATAGATAATTAAAATGGGTGCAGAAAAGTCACTCCATTAAGAAAAAATTGCAATGAAAATCTAATAAAAAACACAATTCTCATTTTTTTAGAAACTGCTGCAGATTTAAAATCATATTTTTACCCTTTTTTAACAAAACAACAAAAAGCTTCGTCAGCATTATCAGAGGCTGACAAAAAAATGATGCATGACAATAACGTGGACGTATCAAATTCGTGGTGGTACACTGATGATAATCATAAAACTTGGCTAATAGAACTTACTTGCGTATTTCTCCGATATTTTTCAAAAACAAGTTATTTACAAAGTTTAATACCATTATGTAAAATCAACGTAGGTTAATTAATTAATTTAATTTTATTCTTACTAAATAATATTTTACTTTTAGATTGCAATATGTGAAAAAATTTTGCCATATTTAATTTATTTATACGCCTCAATAAAAGATAGGAACTTAAGTACTTTATCGAAACAATTAAACTATTTTCTAAATAACGTTTGGGAGTTAAGTTTAAATGAAAAAAATATTAATACAAACAAAATTTTATCAACACATTGTGTGTTGGATGCAGTTTCGTTTTATAAGACGCAATCAAAGAATTATGAGTACGTTTCTAATTTTATTACAAAACTTTCAAACATTTAATTCAAAATTAATCCGATTTTAGCATTGATAACATTCAATTAGATTATTTAAAATTAGCCCAAGCGGCGTTCTATTCTTCAAGATTTTTTGACTCAATATATTACATCGAGCTTTGGTGTCAAAGTAAAGCTGAAGATATCCCAAAGGCAAAGAAATTTACTGGTTCTCCATTATCGTTATTGGATTTAGTATGTGGCGCAGAATCTTCTTCTATTTGCCTAATTGCCCAAAATATTTTACGACGAGTAAATAAATTTTATTAGTTTTACATCAAAATTAATCTTTATATTTTTAGTCTTACAATGAAATAGGTGAAACAGACGCATTAAACGGGTGTGGACACGCATTTCTCCTTGACACCTCAACAAGAATCGAGCACTACAAAGAATTAAACCAATGGGAACAAGTAACCCTTCATTATGATACTTTATTATCACAGGGAAATACAAATATAAAAAATTACATTTCTGAATCACTTATGAATTGCGGTTATTACGCTTTAGCTACCGAATACCATGAAGTAAATAACTTAAATTACGATATTTTATGGCGATTAGGTAGATACGATTGTGACACGAGACAAGAAAGCTCTAATCCATTCGAAAAGCAGAAATATATCGCATTAAAATCGCTTTTCGATCAAGATCAGGACATGTTCTCTAATGCTATTTACGAAGCTCGATTATCAGTGATAAAATCGTGCAAAGAAAACAATTTGCAAACTACTAAATCATTGTATGGGATTTTAACCAATTTACAAATGCTACAAGAATTAGAAGATATCGCGAATATGGGTTTTGAAGCAAGTAGAGTAAAATTCGAGGAACAAGATTCAATACCTAAAGTTGATTTTAAATCATACGAACCGATTAAAGTGCAAAGAATCGTTATTTTAACTGAATATTTAAAAAATAGGGATCTTAGTACGAAAATTGATGTGGAAACGTGTAAAGAATATCTTGTTAATTTATATTTAGACTTTGCAGGTGGTTATGATTGTTATGAATTAAATTTATTTAATATATTTTGTTATTAATTTCTGAAATTTATGTTACAGCTTCAGCTAGAGAAGCAAAACAATTTAATATTGCTAAACGGGCTATATCATCATTATCGACAATTAATCCATTAAAAGACGAATATAGATATAAAAAGGTTTTAGAAGAAGGAAAGATTTGTTGGAATATGGGCGATAAAATCACTGCGCGTTATTTAATTCATGAATTGTTTAGTAAAAACGATAATATTAGGTAATCAAACAAAAATTCTTGAAATCTGTTATCTTTAACACCTTTTAAAATTAATTACAGATTAAACTTTTCTTCAATGAAACTTTATGGACAATGGATGGCTGAATCTCAATCAGAAAATCCTCAAACAATTTTAAACACTTACTTTTTAGAGCCTTTAAAACTAATGAAAAGTATTGATAAAGAAAAGGAAGATTTGGAAAATATATTTGGCACATATTACGATATTGCAAGATTTTCTGACTTGGAATATCAAAGAGTAAGTAAGAATGATTTAAATTACGCATCATAAAAATATAAATATATTTATAGATAAGAACTTACATAAAATCTGCCGAGTTTCAACGTAAAATACAAAACAAAGAAAAATCTCGAGAAACTGCAGAGAAAATTCGTTTAAGCAGGAGTATGGAAGAAGATGAAAGGAAAGCAGCACACATTTATCTTAAACAAAGTATGTTAGACGACGCTGAAATCGATAACACTTTAAAAGGAAAAGCCGTCTACTTAAAATTAGCCATAAAGTACAACTCCTTCTAAATTTATTTCTTATTTATTAATATATAAAAAATTTCAGATACTATATGATAAATTTACAATACAGCGATGTAAACAACACCCGAATTTTTAGAGTATTATCACTTTGGTTGGAGAATCGAACCAGTGATGATTTAAAAAAATGCTTAGACGAGTATGTTTCCAAGATTCCAAGTTACAAATTTGTTCCAATTTTACCTCAACTCGTCCCTCATTTAAGTAACAATTCTAAAGATGATTTTGCTAATCATGTCTCATCAATAATCGGTTAATATATTCATTCTAACATTGCACATTAATTTAATTTGATTAATTTTTAGAACGTTGTGCAAAAGATCATCCCCACCACACTCTCCCCATATTAATTTCTTTATCTCATTCAAATATGGATGATGAGTTTGTAAAAACCAACGCTTCCACAGATTCAAATGAAACGAGAGTTGATGGTGCTCAAAAATTATTAAATAAATTTAATTCAAACAATTCCTTAAAGAAAATCATAAACGAGATGGTAACTCTTTCAAAAGCGTTCATGGAGCTTGCTTATTTAGATCCTGATAAATGCAAATCCGCTCGCGGAAAAAATGAAGGTCTTAATATCCCCGAAACGTCAAAAATCGCCAAGATTTCTAATTTATCTGAAAGTTATTTACCAACAATCACAGTTGATATCCGAAAAAATTGCCAATATAAAGACATAATTTCTGTACATTCATTTAAAAAGCAATTTGCTTTAGTTGGTGGAATAAACAGACCAAAGAGTATTTTGTGTCAATGCAGCGACGGTAAAACACGACGGCTTTTGGTTAAAGGAAAAGACGATTTGAGACAAGACGCCGTTATGCAACAAGTTTTTACGATTATGAACGATTTGTTTAGAAGCAATAATCACACGTCTAAGCTTTTGATCAGAACATATAAGGTCGCCCCTCTATCAAAACGTAGCGGAGTTATAGAATGGGTCGAAAATAGTCAAGTTTTGTGTGAACACTTATATAAATTACATAACAAGTATCGCCCGAATGATTGGAGTTGTGGAAAATGTAGTAGTCAAATGAAGGTAAATTTTTTCTAATTTAATTATCTGAATAACAAAAATGTTTATTTTTAAATGTAGAGCGCTCATCTTAAATCAAATGAAGAAAAATCAATAGTTTTTAAAAGAGTTTGCGAAAATTTAATGCCTGTAATGCATAAATTTTTCCAAGAAAAATACCCAGACCCTATCGTTTGGTACGAAAGAAGACGCGCATTTACACATAGTTTAGCTACGAATAGTATTTGTGGTTACATTTTGGGATTAGGAGATAGACACGTGGGAAATATTCTTTTGGATGAAAATACAGCTGAAGTGATTCACATCGATTTTGGCATTGCTTTTGAACAAGGAAAGTTATTACCTACTCCAGAAACTGTGCCATTTAGATTAACTAGAGATTTAGAAGATGGAATGGGTGTTACTGGTGTTAATGGAATATTTAGAAGGTACATCAACAATTTCAATAAAGCTAAGATAGAAAGCAACATAACATTATGTTATTATTATGTTCTAGATCTTGTGAAAAAACTATGGAAGTTTTACGACATAATTGGGAAACTATAGTTAGCATTTTAGAAGTTTTATTATATGATCCTTTGTATGCTTGGACAATCACACCAGCTGAAGCATACAGTCGTCAACATTACGACGATTGTTCACCAAAAGGAGGTTCAATGAATTTTGGAAGTGATAGTTAGTTCATTTTATCTAATTTTATACATCTTTATTTGTTCTATTTTTTGTTATTAATTTCAGATAAAGAAAACTTGAATGTTACGGCAGAACGTGCTTTGTTGCGATTACATCAAAAGTTACATGGAACGGAAGAAGGTGCGTCTGCCAGTGTTGAGGGCCAAGTTGAAAAGTTAATTCAGCAGGCTCGTGACCATTCAAATTTACATCGTTTGTACTATGGTTGGCAAGCTTATTTGTAAGAGTAGATCACTAAATGTTCTTTTGTGTTTAAATATTTTTGTATTAGTTTATACTAAAAACGTTATATTTTACTTATTTTGGTTTAGATTGTGTTCCAATCATTTTTATTCAGTACTCATTTTTATCAGTCAAACTCAAATATTTGCGTGTACCCTTTGATTTGGAGTCGGCTACAGTTTTACAATTTTTGGATCCATCAGGTACACCTGGAGATAAACGTGATTGATACAATGTAAGCAATCCTAGTGTATAAGGGTTGAGTTCTACACAATATTTACAAACTGTTGCCTTATTTGTAAATTAGGCAAGAGGCGTTTGCATGCTTCTTTACACCAGTATTTTATATTACAGTTTTCTATTATGTTAGGTACACGTAAAATTTGGCTTTTTTTATTAAATTTAGTCAGTACGTCCACAGAAACACTCCATGTATTTAACACTCCAATTCCAACATGAATACTCCCTCACAGTCTATTATAGAAAATTGTTTCAAGTTTGAAATTTCTTTCATCACCTAGGATTATATGACTTTGAGGCAAACTATGCAGTCAAACCATAAATTTTTTCGTTTAGGCATTTTTTGAAAAGTCTTCATTATCACCACAATCACCCAAGGTGTGGTGAGAGTATCATACCAAGTCGTTTTTCAGCTACACGACATACGGGTCTCGCTGCCTACACGCACGGAAATCTGAGTCATGGCTGAGCTATTGAATAGGAAGTAAACTGGTTGGTAACTTGGGTCACTAACCACGCGCAAGACCATGGTCAACTCATGCATTAAGATTAATTATGACTACCGTTTGTTGTTGCAAAAGAACTTGTAATTTCAGATGCTTAATTTGTAACATTCTACAGAATGTCCAAAGAAACTTATTTGGTGAGATTAGTCACCCCTGCGATCCAGAAACAGAATACTAATATGCGGGACTCTGTGGAAGTTGCGGAACGACTATCTCAACCCACCCCTTCTCCGTTTCAAGATTTTTGAGTAGCCTGAAACCTGAACATTATTGTTGGTCGTTCATTCTACTGGAGCACTTGAAACTGGAAACTCAAATCATTAGTTGCCCCGACATGCGAGTCGACTGGTGACTAGTTACAAACTGGTTTCTGTGAATCACAGACGAGGCCGTAATGAGTAACGCCGTGGGTGGCGTGCCATTTGATTACAAAGAAAGTGACTCAAACTAAACTGGTTAATAATTCGCGTACTCATCAGTTCCTTTTCAGTAGCTCCGTGTGCAAATGGCCTTAGACTTCTAAAAGAAATATTAGAAATTCTTAGATTTCTCCTAAAATGGTAATCAAGTCTTAGGTGACATTCGGAAACCGGAAATATCTATGATGTGCATGCTTCTAATACCGTTGTAATAGAATAACTCTGATATTCTGATTTGGATTGTTTCTTGTATTATGTAAAATATTTAACAACAAAAAAGATTATAAGAATATTTTAAATGATTAATACAGGGTTCGGTATATCTTTTAAGTATTTCTCGTAAGATGTCGCCACAGGAAACAAAGCGGCGATAAAGTTGTGTTCAAAGGAGTTTCGCGCGCGAGTCTCAAAACAGACGAACTCTGCTCTTCTGGGGGAGCGTAAGAGCGCGCTTTTAAAATGTTTGCCGCACCGCCACAATATTATTAATAGAATCGTCTTGAAATTTACTTTTTACCGGCAACACTCGAGAACACTGGCGGTATTTCAACTTGGTGCAGCACACCTTTTGCAAAACTGCTTATGATACTGTGATGTTAACGCCGAAAGACACTTAAAAAAGTTATTGTTTTATTTTTTTTATTCTTTTTAAATTTTTTGGGTTTAATTTCAAAAATGGGTGCAAACGAAACGAGTTATTGGTGCGGTGTGAATCGGTTAGTGATTGTAATTTTGTGTTGTGCTAGTTTAATAAGTTGTTATAACGTTGATACAGTAAACTTTGTCAAACATACGAGAAGAGATCAGGAAATGTTTGGATTTAGTGTTGCTGCTCACAGAGAAAGAGGAAATAGTTGGTAAGCACATTCTTAGTATGTAAATTAATATATCTCAATATGTCAAATCGATGATGTAATACTTTTAATGTTTATTTGTTATTAATAATTGTCATAAAACTAAAGTTGTAATTTTCGAAAATTTGCTAAACGTAAATTTTGTTATGTCACTGTGCTATACATATTGATTACACTTCCAGACTTACGCAATTTTCAAGGTCTGCACCCACACTAAAAATAATAACGTTCTCCGTAAGCTAGTTATTAAACCATTTCAAACAGGATTAAAAATTTAAAATAATAGTAACAGAATTATTTATTATGAATGGCGTAGGTTTTAATAGTTTTGCCTTTTCTCTTGTGAAATTTAGTGGGCACATGTCACCAAAATTTTCTTTCTACACATGGGCGTCTTGCCAATCCCACTTAATCTGTCAAGTCAATACAAATATGTAGTTGTAGAGAGGAAGCAATAAAATATATGTAGGTGTCCGTTCCGTACGCACACAGTGAAACGAAAGGAAAAGAAGGCTATTACCACGTTCCAGAAGGGTCTGTGGATCATTAATTTTTTCTGTTAATGACACAAATGTTTTTGTTTAATCGCCCATATTTTTCGCTTAAACATCTCAGCATTGATTCATATAATAAGTTATTTTTTTATACAATAAATCAAGAGTAATCTATATTAATTAAATTAATAATCGAAATCTTTTTCATCTTATGTTCTAAAGCAGGTTTTTTCAATCTTTTTTTCGTCGGCCGCTCCAAGTATCACGAACAGTACTTTTGGCGGTCGACGTCTTTAATTCTTCCTCCGCCATTAGTATTGCTCGTGGTACTTTGGACAGCCATCGTCTTTGAAGTCGGCTGTACCAAGTGTTACGAACAATACTTATGACCGAAGAAGAATTGAAGACGTTTTCGAATTGACTTCAAAGACATCGGCAGCTCCAAGTATCACGAACAATACTTATGGCCGAGGAAGAATTGTATTGGTATTGACTCCGAAGACATCGGCTGCTCCAAGTATCACGACCAATACTTATGGCGGCCGAGATTATTGCTTATATCAACAGAAATAATTTCGGCCGACTACGAAGACGTTGGCCGTCATAAGTATTGTTCGTGATACTTGGGCGGCCGACGTCTTCAAGTCTTCCTCGGCCATAAGTATTGTTCGTGATACTTGGGACAGCCGACTTCAAACAACAATATTTATGACTAAAGCACTAGAAAATGTTCTTAAATTATAAAAATTGAGTGAAAAAATCAAAGATGATTGTGTATTGAAACTTTTCGGTGTGAACATTACGTCAGATTCTCTGGATAGGAAGTCTGGCTCGATGCCAAGCCTTTTTACTATCTCGGCGGTCTCCAAACGCGACGCTCCCGGGATTATATTTAGAGGTCGGGAATGAGTCAAGTAAATGCTGAACGGTGAAGGTGCCGATTTTGCCTTACAGGATATCCCCTGTCACATCGTCCGAAAACCTCCTTCCGACGTTTGTCCCTTGACTTTGACGAACTTTTTCTTTTTTTTCTCGCTTGTATTTCCGACCTTCATGGGACGCATACGATACTCGATTTCTTCGGAAACCCAAGAACCTTTATATGCAGAAATGACACGAAAACAGGAAATGCAATTAGTATCGGATGACACTCAATTGTCCCTTTCATTAGAAACTTCTCGTTCCTAATTAATTAAAAATTAACACGTGTGTTTATACTTCTTTTTCTTTTAATTCATTTTGTATGTTTTTATGATTTTAACACGAACTCGCGTCAATAAAGATTTATAGGTTATCGCTTGTTTATTTTCGGCATGATTAAAGAGTTAATAAATTGGATATAAGATATTAATTAACGCAAAGTATTTAATCTATATTCAATGCGCAACTTATCAAAACGGCGAGAACCAATTAAACATACATCTCGGAGTAAAATGAATTTGCGGTATGTTTTAAAAATGGAAATGGAAACGATCAAATAGCAGCCGACATCCGTAATTGCAGGAAGAAACTCGATAAATTTATCGAGTTTAATAATTCTTTTTTAACTCGCGGTGTGTTCTATATAGAATTTATACCAGTTTAATTACACCGAACCTACAACGTCTACATTTATTGGGACCTTTTCAAGAGCATTCCACCCTGATAACATCTGACACTGCTTAATGGCATTTAACACGATCCGTCGCCAGTCTACCGGAAGTACTTACGTTCATTATCAGCTGCTAATTAAGTTGACAGATTTCTTTTTTTAGACTCCCTTGTATCAAAGTTGGTAAGATTCCTAATGAGTTGTATTTATGACTACGTTTTATTACCATTAATATAATTTATAGGAATTTTATTGCTTCATAACAAAGAGTTTTCAATATTTATTATCACTTCATGATGCTTTTATATTTTATGAATTTTATAAGTCTAATTAATTTTTATGGAATAACTATAATTTTAGAGTAATAATTATAAGAAATATCTTGATTTTTTTGACTTGTACATCCTATTTTGGTACCTGAAAGATTTTCAAGATGGAAGACTGTATTTTAGCAGTTCTAATTCATCAGCTAGGATTATTTTTGCATCTGATAAGGAGATATGTTAACGTCACAACTCTTCCAAAAATGTTTTTTGTAGATAAAATATGTTTGTAATCTATATTAACCTATATTTTGTTATCATTGGAGATCTTATACACATTACTGCATATGAATGATTATTTGAATTAATGAGTACGTTGTTTGGGTAGTATTGTACAAAGAAACCGCTGTTATTTAACAACGTCAAGAGGTTGTCTGCTAACATAATTGCCAGTATGGGCGATAAAATCTCTCTGCGGGAGGAGCCGTGTTTAACAGATATGCTAATATAGTAGAATGTCAAGAATCCGAACTAATTGGGACTATACAGCAAATTGTTCGAAATATCAAAAATAATTTTTTCTGCCTGAATCCTTCATTCAAGATATTGTTGTCTCCAACAACAACGCTTCAGCATACGAAACATCCTAACATGTCAGTTGTCGTCTTCAATATCTTCATTTTCACTGCCGCCTTGGTCTCCCCACTTCAACTGACGTTCCAGTATCGTTGTTATCGAGGATTTCATGCCCAGACCCTGTTTGTTCATATCCAACTATTTCACAGGATCAGATTCGTCACAATTATGGTAACCAAGAACTAACTAGTAGAGTTTTGACACCTTTATTATACTTTTAAGTGTTTCTGCTTCATTTTCGTTCTTTTCTTCTCCAATTTTTTGTGTTAAGGCCAAAAGTGGTTCAATTCCTCTTTTAGGTTTTATATAGTTAGTAGGTCTCATAAATCAACTCCCATTTTCTCTCAATTTTCACGCTTAGATTTTTGGAAGGCTCTCTTCATTCTTCGTTCTTGTAGATCTTGGCAGATGGTTGCTTCGTAATAAAGTATTTCGTGAGTTAATTCCTATACTTTAAGAACCACCTATGTTATGCATTTATCTGGTTTAGTGCAAGTATAAAATTAGTGGTATTTTTTCTATTTTTTAGTAACTTTGGATTATTTTCACAATATTATTACAATTAAGATTTCTAATTTTAAATTTTCATTTAGACTACAAAAAAAATTCACCCTGTATCCAAGTTTTATAACGTAACTTTAGGAAATTCATAATTCATTCCGCATTAATAACAGTTAGTTTTCCCTTCCATAGCAGACATTCCACAATCCCGAGTTGAGTTTCAGTCATCCATATTAATTTTCCTTTATGCGCAACAACGGTAGGCCGTTCCTTCTGCGAGCATTTCCTAAAAAAAACGAAAACCTCGTTCCTCGACATTTTCATGCAAATCCGAGCTTTAAATCTCCGGACAAAGAAGCATCTCCGAAACTCCTTTGAATAGAGACGAGTAACGAGAGTCCCTCTCGCAGCAACGTTACACGCAAAACCTCCCGATACAGATATCATCGTGAACGGATCCTGAAGCCTGATACACTCTATCGCCTCTATAAACAATGCTAGAACATAAATAGCATTTGGTTAGGCTATAGACTAGGATGAACGAAAAGGACGACGTTGTGGGTGTTCTGGTTACCGAAGTTCTACCCACTGAATAGCCTAAAGTAGGTACTACGTACGCATAATCGTACTTTACTTCTCTTTTTGGTGTCTTTAGGTTACTAGAGATTATAAGGGCGAAATCTGGAGTCGAGAGAAATTTGCTCCTTATTGAATTTATTTATAAGATGTGAGAGCATGGGAACTCACCAAAACAGGCATTCTTCAAGTTATGCGATGCCTTATCTTTTAGAGAAGAATAAATTACAATAAATATCTTTTTTTGCTGTTATGGCACTCAAAAAGATTACTTCTGAGTTCGATTAGAAGCATCTAAATACATTATGAGTAAATATTCATTTATGGATATTTTAATGATTTACACTTGGTAAAAACAGGACCAGATGTAGTCATTTTATATCTTGCCGATCTCCGCGTAGACAAATAAGGCTTGTGACGTCAACAGTGCAAGTGGGTTCTTCGTTATTATACAGTAGGCGTGTGCAACTGACCCGATTATGACCAGATTTTTAAACGAACGTTGAGGTACTTACTTTCAGTTTCAATACAACGACGGGAAAGACGCAGTTTAGTAAACCGACTCAATGTTACGAGTCTGATTTAATCGAAATTTCATTACGATTTTTATACGACTCTTTATATCCAGCAGCAATATGGACATTTATTTTGTTATTTACCTAATTAATTAAGCGTGTAGCTACATAAAGATGAAAATGTGACAATTTTTGTTTTTACGTGAACGATTAGGATGCGTTGTTATTTTTATGGGATGGTTTGGTTGAATTAAAAAGGCTAATGCAATAGCAGATGCGGAGGTAAATTAAACGCTTCACTGTCCTTGACTTATTTACGTAAGGAGGCAGTTGCTAACGATATGTAAAATTGCTGGTGGTGACCGTGTGCTTATGCACATACAGAATATAGCGGCAGCACACGACCGCGTGGTCACGACTTCCAGAT